CCCGACAGGACGCATAGCTTGTCCAGACGACTCATCCTACTTGCGCCCAGAAGGAACATTTGTGACGATCTCTTTGGGTGTTATATATATATACGTTGAAATAAGCTACACGAGACGGACTAAAGTGAAAAAATTGAAAGTGATGTTTTTGGTCAAAGAAACATTGCGGGAGTGCTCATCCCCTTCTCACAGCCCTGAGCCAGTGGTGGAAGTTCCACATTCCAATGGCCGGGGATGGTCTAGCCATAGAACAACCACTGTTGGCTTCCCCAAAAAGTGGTACTAAATGTATCGATCCCCAGAGAGAGAGGATGGGCTGAGTCAACCACCAATGAGGGATCTGAACTTGCGAGCTGCAGGCTCGAGCGCGGAGCCACCTGGCCGGATATGATCTGGCAGGCAGCTCCTTTAAACGCAACGCGTAACCCACGCGCAGGGCAACGGCCGTGGCGGACAAAGAGAAACACTTCCACAGTGGAAACTAAGTCACTCATCGTATTGTTGGGCAAAGTGTAAGCAGGTTTGATTTGAATACGTTGAGGGGTTCCTCCTACATCTGAACGGAAACACAGTGATGTCAAAACGTACGTCATTATGCTTTAGAAAGTGCGTTATGGGTTTAAAATGAAAGTAAAATAGTTGAATTTAATAATTCACGAATTGTACACAGTTTCACTTAAGGGAACAAAAACTGGAAAGTGTGCAAAGAAGCGTAGAGAGGTGCGTGTTTAAACTGGCGCTGGGTGACAGTGGAACACGTGGATCAGAGACTCCTCAGGCTTAATACATCACGTGAACTGTTGCAGAGAAGCAAGCTGGCTTGGGCTTGCCTGAGACGAGCGATAGTGACAGCCAAAGGCGAGAACTCGCCAGAGAGTACGACCACCGCCGAGATGATCAAATTAGCCTTGCGTGCAGGAGCTCACATCGCGAGACCACGAGGGATGGCGACGGCTCGGGGAGGCCTTCATCCAGCAGTGGATAGATGACGCCTGATGATGACGATGAAAGGAAGATGTACGTACCTCATCTGTGTGTCGTCTGGCACAATTTTGAAGCCTCGCTTTTGATATAAAAAAACAAAGCCTTTAAAGTCCTAGAGATTAACGTTCTAGTGACACCACTGCCACGTGTTTTCAACTGACGCTGCAGTGACTACATCGCCCGAGTCTCACTGACCGTGACTCTAAACGTCTCCAATCAACAAAGCTGCAGTTTCCTGTCGGGACAGCCAGGCGGTGATACGCGGCCGGGGGAATGTCGCTACGAAGATAAGTACGCTTTTATTTGCGGTCGGATATTTAAAAAGGCAGACGCTAAACGTGCTCAGAACTTCCAAGGGTGTCAAGGGGTTTATTAAACGGCTGTTGCAACAATCAACGTTGCGAATGAGCACGTGCTAATACTGGTAGGAACCTCCTGGTTATTACACCAGCCCACAGGGGATTCTAGATTTGAAGCTTTTGTGACTGCAAGGATCCATACTCTTTGGTTCTATTCGGTAAAGTCACGTAGGTAAAAAATAAAATAGAACAATAAAAAAAAATCACGACGTTTTCGGCCACAACACAAGTGGCCCTTCATCAGGTGAAGGGACCGGACTGTCCAGAGGACAGCGTTGGAGTGAAATCAGCCAAGCCCAGGTCGCGTCCTTTAAGCTGTGTGGGAGGAAACAAAGGCGCCTTGACAAAGGAATTAGCATAACAATGAGCATGATGTACGTAGGAGGTACATGATGGACCATGATGGACCAGGCGCGGGGGAGACCATGATGGACCAGGCGCGAGGGGGAGGGGAGTTTACATAATGTTGGTGTGAAGGGAAATAAGCAGCTGTGAAAATTGGAAAGATGTTCTAAATCAAACCAAACATTAAACTAATTTTCAATGGTACAGTATATTTTTTCATCATGTACCTCCTACGTACATCATGCTCATTGTTATGCTAATTCCTTTGTCAAGGCGCCTTTGTTTCCTCCCACACAGCTTGAAGGACGCGACCTGGGCTTGGCTGATTTCACTCCAACGCTGTCCTCTGGACAGTCCGGTACCTTCACCTGATGAAGGCCACTTGTGTTGTGGCCGAAACGTCGTGATTTTTTATTTTTATTGTTTTATTTTATTTTTTACCTACGTGACTTTACCGAATAGAACCAAAGAGTATGGACGACAGGGGATTATTGTGTCCGTCCGTCCGTCGTGCATCCAAAAATGGGAGGGGTGGGGCTGGGTGGAGAGGGGAGGGTGGGGAGGGGCTGGGTGGGGAGGGGAGGGTGGGGCTGGGTGGGGAGGGTGGGGAGGGGCTGGGTGGGGAAGGTGGGGAGGGGCTGGGTGGGGAGAGAGGGAGGGGTGGGTGGGGAGGGTTGGGAGGGGAGGGAGGGGCTGGGTGGGGGGTAGGAGGGGTGGGGCTGGGTGGGGAGGAGCTGGTCACCCCGTGGTGCCCTTATACAACTCAACGTTTAACCTACTCACGCCGGCTTGTGCCCGCCCTCACAGTCGGGCATATTTGCGGAATGCACCACGTGGCGCGCCGTGGACCTTGGCCATTGACCGAGCAACCCAACGTTCCTACCAGCTCCCTCCGCAGGAATGTGTTTAAACCGAGACCCCACAATACGTGCTTCCCGAGGAATGTATTAACCATGCGTGTGCTAGCGGGCCACGTTCTTCCCGTCTGTGTTTGCGTACGCAGGCGGTCATTTCTCATCTTCGCGATCGCTAATTGACGGTGCGGGGAGGGGGCCCAACGAGTCAACAACGACACTACCCCGAGGCTCAGCCCCAGAAGCGACAATAACTCGGCAAACACGGCAGAGGCACCAGAAGAGCGCCCGCTCGCCCTCATGCGTGGGCCATTGAGTGAACCCGCCCCATGCCGTCATCCGTCGATGTGCGTGGATCGTGAGCAGATGCGACGCGAAACTCCACCTCATGCGCGCGCGTCTCTCGATCGCTCTATCCCTCTCTCTCCGTAGGTTTTATACTTCTCTGTAAACATTCCGCATCACCGTCAACGATCATCAGCCATGATCAATCCACTGCCAGACCAACGCCCCCCGCCCCCCCCCCCCCCCCACAAGTCGTGCCGACCTCTCACGGTCGCGACTGGGATTAAAATGACACATTCCTTCACCTATTCACCTCTGACGGTGAGCCACAAGTCACCGTACCGGCTGCCAACCAACGCACCGTTATCCACCTTGGTCAGTTTCAGATCTGTTTTTTTAATGCAACATGAGACGTGTAAAGCTGAATCCGCGTTACGACAGACAGAGCTATTGTGTGTGTGTCGTTAACCCTCCTCCACCCGACACAGCCCCGTGGAGTGCTCTTCAGCACTCCGGCGGTCGCTGCTGAAGCAGTAACAATTTACCACGTTTGTTCATCACTTGACAAGGTTATTCATTGGCAATGTCGAGTGGTGGTGGGGCGCGGGAGGGGCACGACAGAATATTGACATGATTAAAAAAACAATCTATTTTGAAAAATGTCGGCACATAGCCGGTAGCCACCCACACAGCGCAGCCACTTTGGCTTTCATGACCAAACCACGCTGCAGGGTTTACCATTGCGTCGCAGTATCGTTTTGGGCCCCTACAAATTCGAGGCCCTGGGATTGATGGCCCAAAGCCCCCTGCGTTAATCCGGGCCTGCTCGTTGGCCTGCAATTGCATCGGATGGGATTAGTCCCGTTAGCTATGGCGAACCTTCCTACCAAGCACCCTTAACTTACGAGTCAGGGGCCGTCCATAAATGACGTCACGCGATTTGGGACGATTTTTGACCCCCCCCCCCCCCCCGTCGTCACACGGCGTCACAAAAAGTCAGACCCCCCTTCAAATATGACGTCACAAAGCTCTGCCCCCCCCCTTCCCCCAAAAAAATAAAACATGCTTCAATTCGCTTTAAAATATTGTCATTGTAATGCGTATTTAATGTGGCGCTGCACTCTGATGTTGTAGGAGAAAACATTTATTAAAAAGTCTATTTAATTAAGTAGAACGTGTTGTCTATATTTATTTAAAGTTGCGCATTTTGATGTGACGTCACATTTCTGAAACCCCCACTCCCCCCTCGTCACACATCGTCACAAATATCTGACCCCCCCCCCCCACCGCTAGGTGCGTGACGTCATTTATGGACGGCCCCTCAGCATTGCTCTCAGTGAGAACTCGCTGCTTACATTGGACGGCTCGATGGAGAGTTGAGAGAGAGAGAGGTGTTACCACGGCTGACGGAGCGACTCGGGGTCAGCTTAGCCTGACATGAGACGCTGCGTGTGGTCGCTATTACGGAACGGCGCTGCGCTCATCACTTGCTGTGTGAATGATGAAATGAGTAGAGAGGTGTGCACGGGCACCACTGTGACCCGAGAAGGTCTGCCTCGTATTGGCGACGACAGACGCCGTCGCCTGAGCTTTACAAACCTGCCACGGACGCACGCAATTCGCACAGAGCAGGCGATATCATTATAAACACCTGGCCGCTTATATTGCCAACATCGTCGTCGTCGACAGGGATGTTCTACCCACTGCTGGATGAAGACATGCAATCACCATCCTCCAAGTATACATACGAATTATTTGGCCAAAAACATCTTAATACATAGAGGACCGCAGAGCGCGGATAATTTTTTGGTAGCGCCGAATCACCACTTAGCTGCCGCATTCCCCCGTCGTCTGTGATTCCTATTCCTCTGTGGTTCCTATTCCTCTGTGTTTCCTTGTCATCTGTGGTTCATATTCCTCGCGCCTCTGAGTCGTCCTCCCCCTCTCTCCGTGAGAGCGAGTGAACACTGTGTGGTGGAGGCGCGTTACAAGTTCACATTATCACTACGACTACATTCCATAATAGAGGTTTTTGGGTTGCGTCAATATAAATGCGTCGTTAAACCCGCCACCGCGCGACACAGCCAATGAGTAAGGTTTGTCACTCTCCAACACACAACCGATTAGTGCTGAACTAGTAACGAATTGTTTACGTGACAAACCTTATTGGTTGGCTGTGTCGGGTGGTGGCGGGTTTAACGACACATTTCTATTCACACGATCTAACCCAAACAACTTCTATTGTGGATTTTTATCGCGAATGCCCCACTCCGACAACCACTCCGTGTTAAACTCAAGTTAACATTATGACTACGACTGCGATGCGAGAACGGTCTCGCGCGAACCGTTCGCATTGCTCCGTCTCCACGGCGGTGGCCCTCTCGGGCTGCGTTATCTCCTTTAAGTTGTCGATGCATCGTCGGTGTAGTCCATCAGCAGCCGCCAGTCATTCCGTTCCACTAAAGCGGTGTCCCCACCCGAACTCGCTCATTTCCATCGCCAGCCATTTGTTCCCCGATACGCGAATTCTCTCCGTTCTGTCGCTCAGTTTAATATGCGCGCGTGCGTGTCGGCCACGCTGCTGTACATAACTAATCTGCGACACCCCTTCCTCCCGTTACCTCCAAGCGTTATGGAAACAACGCAAGGGCGTTGTGACTCGCAGCGGTCCCCGGGGTTCGCATGTCGCCGTGGGTGAGGTGCGCGTGGAGGTGAACAGCGTCACGGGCGAGACCTCGGCCCCTCGATGTTGGCAAGGGGCCGAGCCGCCTGGAGGTGACTCCTGCCGTGGGGAGGTTGACACCGCCGCCTCCTGCTGCTGCCACATCCTGTCGTGTGCGGGGTGAGGTGGCGCAGTGGTTAGCGCACTGCGCTACGAACCCGGAGCTCCGCTTAACGATCAGTAGCAGTGGCCGGATATTTTTAACTGTTCCGGACCTCCCCTCGGTCGACTTAGCCTCAAACGAATAGATCTGTCTCGGTGTGTTATCATCAGCACTGGGGAGACAAAGGCGGAGGGGTTTGGTGTTGCCCACCGACCCCCTCGTGTGCTGAGCCGGCCTGCATACGTGCGCGCTAACGGCACTTGCCTCAACAGCCTGTCCAGGCTATATGGGGGATCTTTGCCTTTGCACGCATAATGTGACCAGCTACACGCCACAGCGTTCTGTATTTATGACGCGCGCGCGTCAGCATTTCCCGACGGCTGTCAGCGCCCTCCGTATCAAGCGCAGGGTTTTTATTTTTAAATCTTCCTTCCACGGTTGTAATGTATCTTCTCCATGAAACAAACAAAATAACGTCGTGGACGTGACTAATGAGTCGTGACAATTACCTATTTGGGTTTCTTTCATGTTTTATATTAATAAATGCGCGTATATTCCATTACAGGTATCCCCAAATCATCCACAACGCGCCAGATCTCGCCAGACGTTGGGAAGCTGAGCGGGGCTTGACCCTGGACACGACACTGCGCAATGGACGGGTGCGGTGCGCGTTGCGGGCAGCAGAGAACGGTGCAGCCAAATCCACGTCGTTCGTTCGCCAACCCGCACTGCCCATCTCGGTGAGGTTTCGAGATTCCTCGCAGCGCGCACGCGGCGTGCAGAAGACACCCGCGGGCGGCTGCACTTGACCAATTTGTACTTCGATTACTTTATTTTTTATATTGATCTATTTTTAGCGACTCGCTTACCTGTTCTCCGTTACATCGCCTTGCGCAGTGGTTGTTGATGTAACTCGCCGACCACCCCCCCCCCCCCCGCCATGCTGTACTTCGGTGAAATAGAGAGCTCCGTAGCTCATCGGATTCCTCCGGGCTAAATTAAGATTCTGACTCTGCGCTTGTTGCCCGTGCACAATGCGTACATGGACATTGGAGACTGTAATGCCCTGCTTTTTGGAATTCCGAGCGAGCACCTATACAGTCTGCAGTATGTTCAAAATGTGGCCGTGCAGGGTGCTAACTGGTACACGCTTTAAAGATCACACCACACACATGTGCTCCTGTCCCTTCTCTGGCTCCCTGTGCGTACCCATCTTGATTTTAAAATTCTCTTGCTGGTATCCAAGGCCTTAAATGGAATAGCTCCTCCCTGCATTCATGACATCCTCCAGCCACGAATATTCCATCGATATCATTGAGATCTTCAGATTGTGCGTGCTCGCCCTGGGCACGGCTGTGTGGGGACATCTGCTGGCCGCCACAGCTGGGAACTCTGTAACAGACATAGGGTGGCTGTCGTGGACTCGAGAGACCCGCGAGGGTCCTTCCCACACCGCTGTGGCTGCAGTGACCTGCCACTGCAGCCGCCACGCCTGGGACAACGCCTTGAAGCTTGCACGGAACGATCCTTCAGCGGTCGGTGGGGAGAATGCTCCACGGTATTAAAATGAATAAAAAACGCGTCCATCCCACATCTGCATCTCCGGCTCCGATGAGCATCTTTGATTAGCACGTTTGGCTACGTACTGTGCGATCGAAGCTCAACGTGCAACACACATACATACACACTTACTCCTAATATATAAATAAGCGTTTTCTTAAACAACCCATCAGCGCCACGGCCTTCTGGGAGTGCATCTATCTGCTCGGCAGCATTGGTGCAATGCAAGCAAATTATTTCTGGACCGGCTTCAAAGTCCCGTGTGTCATCAGCAGCGCCAGGTGCTCGCTTGAGCCAATGATGGTGAACTGCGCGATGTTCACGTGAGGAATTCTGCGAATAATAAGACGCACGTCTTTGCCTGTGCTGTATTGCAGAGTGGGGAGCGATAGTGTAGCGGTTAGCGCGCTGCGCTATGAACCCGGCGACCCGGGTTCGATTCCCGCTCACGGCCAACACCAGTGACGATTATCTGAACCGGTCCCGGGCCTCCCCTAGGTCGACTCAGCCTCAAATGAGTACCTGGTGCGGTGTGTAAACATTGCCACTAGGGAGACAAAGGCGGTCGGGCGTGGTGCTGGCCACCCACCCCCCCCCCCTTTGTATTGCAGAGCGAATATTTGGGCGTGCGTCTTCTAAGCGGGAAATCCCGGCAGTACGCTCTCACGGGCGTCAATTCAGGTCAGGTCTACCGCCAATCACAAACTCCATTTAGAGACACCCCACTGATCCCCGAGTGAATACCGAGACAGCGTGTTGTGAGATGCGTGGGAGACATGTAGCTGCATAGTAACATGCCACCCGATTGAATAGGGGCCGTCCATAAATGACGTCACTCGATTTTGGACGATTTTTGACCCCCCCCCCCCTTCGTCACACGGCGTCACAAGAAGTTAGACCCCCCCCTCAAATATGACGTCACAAAGCTCTGCTTCAAATCTCTTTAAACTATTGTCATTGTGGCGCTGCACTCTGATGTTGTAGGAGAAAACATATATTAAACAGTCTATTTAATTTATTTATTTAAAGTTGCGCATTTTGATGTGACGTCACATTTCTCAACCCCCCCCCCCCTCTGTCACACATCGTCACAAATGTCTGCCCCCCCCCCCAAGTGCGTGACGTCATTTATGCACGGCCCCATACCGCAAGTATAATTGTATAACTTTACGACTGTCGTCTTATATGGGACGCAGTGGTGTAGTGGTCAGCGCACCGGACTTGCAATCCAGAGCTCACCGGTTCGACCACCCGGCGCGGTAGCTGAAACAATGGGACATTCTTTTTTTAATCTCTCCGCTTCCGTCCACCCAGCAGTGTAGAACTGGTACTCAGCAGTCGATCGGTTGGTCTTGTGGTGGTTGTTGTTGTTGTTTGACTTGCATCCCACTGGGATTTTTGCACACAGCGTTGGTATACGGTGCTTTTTCTGGAAGCTTTTGTTGTTTTTTTGCTGTTTTTTTCCTGGATTTTTCTGTTTGCGCATAGTCACTTTAAGATCTTTTCTTGTTCATGTTTTTGTTTGTTGCGGTTGCACCCAATTCAAGAGCCGAATGGCTCACAGGGCTATACCAAATAAATGAAACTGAAAACTGGTGCAGAGTGTGGTTACTGCCACCTCTTCCAAGATCCCTGGAAGAGTGGGAGCAACGACACCGTCTAGCGGAGGCCCTTCCACCAGCAGTGGCGTGAGCGAGCAATTTCAGGGCCGCGCCTTTACTCTATAACCCTACCGTTGGGATGAGAGCCCCTGCACAAGTGTATCTTTGACTGCAGCCGGTTTGCGGTGTGGGCAGTGTTTTTGTAACGTGATTTCATGCGCGCTCTGATTTTAAAATGCTGACAACTGCAACACCCCCTCCCTCCCTGCCGCCAACTCAATTTCAGCTCGACTTGCCTGGCGAGTTAAGCTCACGACCACGGCGTCACATCTGCATCTGTCACGGAAGCAACTGGCGGATGAGAAAGAGGATGCGAAACGGCACGAGGAAGAGGATGGAAAGCCAATTAATACATCGACACTCCAGGAAAAAAGAATGAGAAGTGAAACCTCAGCGCCCGAGCGAAATTAAGCAACGGGGAAACCACTGAAGCGTGGGGTTCGCCTACACCTCCAGTGTATGACCCACTGGACATGTGTGGGGGAAAAAAAAAGCTTCATAGCTCATCGGATTCTTCCAGTCTAAACAACGTTTCTGGGTCCGTGTATCGTCCTGGATTATTTGAAATTAACCCAGCAGTGGAATGACCGTGACTGATGTTGATGATGACTTTCACGTATTGATGAGTTCCTTAGGGCGCAGGGTAATAGCGCAATGGATGGAGACATTTTTTTGGAATAACAAAGCACGCCTTCACATTATAAGACGCACTTTTCTCCCTGACAGTCAAAACAAAAGTTGAGGGTGCGTTTTATAATCCGGTGTGAGAGACCAGCTTTGTATAACTGTATTTTTATAACTTTATTCACAGTGGGCACGAGATTGGGGGGTGCGCCGTACTTTTTCCCGAACGCCTTTTTAATCCGGATGATCTGCGGTGATTAGACTCGTGGAAATATTTTCTTTACAGCCAGGGCAACAGGGCGATTGGAAAATGTCGAGAGACTGAGCTCTATTGCGGCGTTAAATATAAACACACGACTGTTAGATAAAAATAGTGTGGCGCAAAGAGGACATCGTGCTGCAGTGAGCACACGTACTGTACGTGTGCCACTACTACACCGATGGATACAAGAATTCCTGCGCCGTGTTGGTCAATGGGGTATTTTAACCATACTTCACCACTGGGGTTGGTGAAAGGAGGAGGAGGAGGAGGCATGACCGGCTCTGATACATTTAAGATAAAACTCTTGCAAAAAAAAGAGTCAACAGACTCAGATTGTTCCGTACATATAAAGGCCATCTTATTATTATGCAACACATTCTTTCGTGCTAATAGATTTACTAACAATCCTGAACGAATCAGAATAGGAGCCAAACGAGTTTACACGCCCAACGCCCATGTTAATGTTATTCACAGCAATTATTGACCGGAGACAGAAATCCATGATGGGCATGAAGGGATGTGGCAGGACACGTTTCTCTACCCTGCAGGGCGATGCCGAGCGGGAGAGACTGTCAGTGGCTATGCCTCGCCACTGTTCAACGACGAAGTCACAGTTAATTACCACCGCCTGTCTCTGCCTCTCATGCATTATAAAACACATTATAAACACTCAGAAGACCATTGCAACCGACTAAAAGAGACGCCGTGTTTTTTTGTTCTAAAGGGTATGCACAAAGGGCACACGCACGGTTAATTAATTTGTTTGGATTAAATATGGGGGTTGGGGGGGGGCTGAAATTAAGACTCCTCGAATGAAAACAAGGAAGCGTTTGTCTTGACGACAGTGTCTATCTGCTCAGACCGTCAGGACGTTCGTGCAAATTCCACATTCCTATGGCGCACACCACTATACACAACAACAACCGCCATTCGCCACTAAGTGGTGGTGACGTCACCACGGCGCCTGTGCCAGGCCATGTGCACCTTGAGGCCAAGGTGCACATGGCAGGAGGTCACGGGGCAGATCCAGCAGGTGCAATGGGTCGACTGACTGAGGTGACTGAGATGACTGGCCGATGCACCACCTGTGCCCCCTACTGTGCCAACCTGCTGTGTTTTAGCCGCTCGGCGCTCCGCTCGTTGTTGTGAGCGTCGCTCCTCCGCCTTCCGTTGCTGTTGGAGGGCGACTGCCTCCAACTGCCCAGTAGCGTCCTTTACGAGCCTCCTCCACAGAGGCCGATCTTGACACCGCTAGTACCAGTCATCGGCAAGTCCACTCAGCTCCACGTCCTCCTGTACCACATCACTCCATCTCTTCTCTAGCCCGTGCTGCGCCCGTTTAGCCCCCTCGATCCGGCCGAACACGCACACCAAGAGACAATCACTGCTGCCGACTTCCCACAAAGTTGCGTTCACTTTAGTAACTCCAGGGACATTATGGGCTGAGTTCTGTCGTAAACTTACAGCTGCAATGTTTTGTGAAGGTCACTGTGTTTGGCATACGATGACAAGTATTGCAAATTTTAAAAAAAGCGTTGCTCACTCCCTTAAACAGGAACATGCGACGGACAGTTACCAAAACAGTGGTTATCTTTGCGAGCGCATCCTGCAAAATTATTTAAACTAACGGAGGCGTACAACTGTAGGTTTAACACGTAGGCTTTCGCGACCAATATTATTCATAATAACGTTTTTTAGGTTAGATCGCGTAAGTATAAATGTGTCGTAACCCTCCACCACCCGACAGCCAGTAAGGTTTGTCACATAAACACAACGTGCCAATTAGTGACTACTTCAGCCCACCGGTGTGTTGGATAGTAAATCCACAATATGAACAATTTGAGTAGTACGACGTTTCGCTGAAAAATTACATCCAGCGGCATCGGGCGATTTGCCAGAATTAAAAAAAAAACGTTTATTATGAATTGTACGTTACTCGACGAACATTACCGGACAATGAAGGCAAGGTTTAAGAGACTGCTCCGTGACGCAGGGCGTTTGTAGGGCTTCGAGAAATGTGTCTCTTAGCTCACCGTCGTTTAGCCTTGAGTGGAGGTGAGGGGCCGCCCCATCGTTCTTCCAGACGTCACGGCCACTGTCCTGAACCATTCATGGTGGGGACACCTTTGACCAGTGCCCTCTCAAAATCCGATATTTGGTAATTCCACCAAACAACATACTTTGACTCCCCGCAGAGGTCACATTTGAAGTTTAAAAGCGCTGTCCACCAAACTGCAGGACGTTCCCCCTGCACTGTCGCAATCACTCACGGGGACAATACGAAAATAACGCCCCCTTCACATAAAGAAACGTCCCAAACGGGATGTTGCTGGATCAATGTCGCCTAAGTCAACCGGGGCGCAGGGCCCAGTGTCTTGGCTCCCACCTCCTCACTCCGACCCCGGAGCCACTGGATCTCGGTGCGAGCCCCCGGGCTCTCCTCCCATCAGCTTCCCACTCCCGCCCACCTCTCACTGTCGTCTAATGGGAGCTGCAATTCTTCTCTCTCTCTCTCCCTCACTCCGCTTCCCTCCTACTCCTGCTGCAGTGGCGTCAGCGCCGAGTGATGGCTGGACTCTGGGGAGGGTGAATTTGGGTCGTGAGCTCAAGCGCCGTGGCTTCTGAACGCAATTTTATGCGAGGCAGTCTTCAAATATCGCGCTCGACTGTGGTCGCCATATGGATAAACTGAGCCATGCCATGGGAATGTGGAATATCCGCAATTGGCTGTTCTGTTCTATTTGTGCATGTAGCTGTGTGTTCGGGAGGTAAATGGCAATGTCGATGTTTGCTTGCCACGAGAGGGCTTCAGGAGAGAGAGTGTAGTTTTGCCGTTCCTCCTCCGTTGAAGGATTGCAGACTACATTGGTGTATGATTTGATCACAAGTTTGTGTTGCATAACCACAATCGCGCTGTTGTTTGTGTCTTTAATTTCCCATTAATGAAGATGTTCGCATCAGCCTGTTGATGTTCTCAGAATCTTCATTTAGAGAGGAGCCATCTGATGAGCTGTGGAGCTCGTTTTCACGGATGTTCAAATGTTCTGATGCGGTTGATGGTCATACCACCAGTGTCTTCCAGGAATGTCACAGCCAGCGTTCTTCCTGATCTGGGCGAGATTCAAGGATGGTGACAGCAGCAGCAGAACGATCCCAGAAGGGGATGCATCGGAACTTGGCTCAATACGGACGATGGGGATGAGTGATGCACCACACCCGTTTGACAGTCGAGGCGTGTTGCCCTGTGCCCCGTGACATTAACAGCGGTGTACCGTACAGTTTTTTTCTCGTGTTTATTGAAATATTTCACCTAGAAAATCCCTTGAGATAGAAAATCTCGTTCACAGGCGAGTCCAAGGCATCAAGTGACGCACGCATAGCAAAAACGTAATGGCAAGTATAAAAACATTTTAAAATATGGACCTTATACAGTCGATCAGACAATGCCAAACACATTCATGACAATGTTAAATTCAGCATTACACTTTCGATGCAATTGCTTCATATTGTCTAAGTGTCGTATTTAAAAGATAACGCTCTACTGTGGTTAAGGAGAGCCACAAACCTCAAAGTAAAAAAGTAATGCAGATAGGCAAGCAGCCTGTCCATGGCCTCAACCGGTCCAGTGTTCTCACGGTAAGCACCCAGCCAGCAGCCAGGGCCGTCCATAATGGGGGAAGCGGGGACCGCGTCAACTCACACCCCCGACGCCTTCAAACCAAACCTAAAGTATGACTTCTGGCACCGTGCCGTCGAAGCGCGCCCCCCCCCCCCCCAGATCGCGGGGCCCGGGGCGGTCGCCCCTATTCGCCGTACCCTAGGGACCGCTCTACGCACAGCACCCGCACCCAGAGCAGTGCCTGTTTTGTCGTCGTCCATTGGGTCTCTGTGCGTGGGAAGGGAACCAATTTAGGGATGCCACCTTCCCCGCGAACCTCGCCCAGTCGACCTTGGGTCATTCTGCAATTATTATCATCGGGCATGATCTAACCACTGCTGGATGAAGGCCTGCCCGAGCCGTCACCATCACGGTCCTGCGGTGGTGTGCCACTCCACCTAGCACCTGGCACATCGGTTGATTCCACTGCTCCATGTCTGTGGGTGGAAGTCGTCTCCGTCGCTAATTTCAACCACCGGACGTCGTCCTTGCCGGCGCTGCGCCCTTCCCACGCCGATCGTCTATTACCCGAGCAGCGCGCGTGTGTTCTGTGTTCCTCCGCGAGCCTCAAAATGTGTAAATGTTGTGGCTTGGCTCTCCAACACACCGGCGTGCTGTACTAGTGACGAATTGGCCACGTTCTTCTTCCTTGGTTCTTTCGGTAAGGTCACGTAGAATGAGAATAAAATAATAAAATAACACAATAAAATTCTCACGACGTTTACGTGATAACCCTTACGAGTTGGCTGTGTCGGGTGGTGGCGGGTTTTAACGACACATATTTATTGCGATTTAACCCAAAAACCTCTATTATGGATGATGATATTGGTCGCGAAAGCCTGCTACGTTTTAAACTGCGCGGCTTCCAAAGATTTCCGAGGACTTTGCGGTGCCGCGAATGTCGCGTCGGGCCGTGCCCATCACCACGGCCGCGCTCCGGGGGTCACGCATTCTCTGGTGTGCGGAGCGGTGCGAGGGAGTCGGCAAAGCGGTACCCGTAACTTCGACACGAGCGCCGCGGTCTAAACGTTTCCTCATTGGGCCACTCTCGCCAAATGCGATGATCGTGGTCTCTTCTCAGACGACAGTTCTCACCCGGTTCAACAAAATAAACTCGGACTCGTGGAAAGGAAAACAAAAATAAACGTGCTCCGTATAAACCTGAGCGCATCCCAATCGTGCATGCAAGATGACTTGCAAAGAAAGAAACCAAGCACGTGTGTGTGTGTGAATGAGTGTGTGTGTTTGAGTGTGTAGCCATCGGCGGACGTGGATTCGATGGACGGTGAGAGGGCCGTCGAGCCTACGCGCCGATACAATGCGGCCGAGCAGGAGATGCGGGGCGCAAGTTTCAATTTGAGAATTGCCAAATCGTCCTTCGGGTGTTGGCTTCCGTGTAGATGTCACTCAGCTTATACTTGGAAACCATGACTTTGTTCCTGCGGATTAAACAGCGTCCGAGGGGCATCTTGTGATGGACGCGCGCCACGTGCTGAACGTACTCGCAGAAGCACATGCCCTCCTCCACGTGGCTGACGGCGGCTCCTCCCGCATCCTTCGGCGCGAAGCCCTTGTTCACCGCGGTCGCGACGTAGGCGCACGAGAAGAGGCGCAGGGCCTTGGCGAACAGCTCCTCGGTTTCCGCGGGCGTGAGGCTCAGGCACGCGTTCAACATGTCGCAGACGACCACGCGGCACTGCTCCACGCACATGTACACGAAGAGCAGTTCCCCCCTGGGCCCGCATCCCGCCATGATGCTGCGCGTGATGAACACGCGGTTGGCCTCCCCGACCCGCTCATGCAGCCGCGCCTGCTGCCTGCGGTACTCGTGCCGGGGCCACGTCCACACGTACCACAGCGTCCCGAGCAGCAGCGCCAGCAACAGCACCAAGCCGCTGATTGACGCGGGGAGGATTAGACGGTTTTCGGTATATTGGATAAATCTATAGTAGATGGCTATAAAAGCAACGATCAGCGCGACCATCAAGATATGCAACAGTCTTTTGCATCTTTCTCGCTTTTCATTTTCACTGAAGACGCTCGCCGTCTTTGGCATTTTGTTGATGATGAGCATGGCCTTCATGAAGTCCTGCAGGCTGACGATCCACCCGAGCGCCAGCGGGATCATGTACTCGTTGAAGGTGCCGACTTTCCAGGGCTCCAGGTTCTGCTCTCGCGGTCTCATCACCTGGAGCAGCATCCCGTTGTGCATCATGCGGGAAGGCGATGGAAGGGTTGCGGACAACTCGATGAGGCTGTTCGGCGTGCGCAGCACGGCCTCCAGCTTGACCAAGAAGTTCGGGTCGGCGGCGTCCAGGCAGGTGAGGTGCTTGAGCTGGAAGGGTATGTCGACTGGCCCCACGAGAATTGGCACGATCGCTTTGCCGATCTTCGTGTTGCCCAGGATGCTCATGTGCGTCTCCCACGTGCACCATCGGCTGGTTAAGTAGTCGGCGCTCAAGGCCAGCAAGATCTTTTGGCTCCTGTGGATGGCGTCCACCATGTTGTCCACGATGGGCTTCCCGGCAAGGAAGTCTCGCTCGTGATGACACACTCTGAACCCACGCTCGGGGCCCTCCAGTTTGGAGATGAGCCCCTGAGCCCAGTCGCTGTCGGCGTCGCAGTAGCTGAGGAAGCAGGTGAACATTCGCAGAGGCTGGAAATCGCACAGGCTGTCTGTGTCTTCCTCCAACTGCAGCAGTCCAACGTTGTCTTGCTCGTCGGCCATGGTTAAGATTTTTAATCTGCCAGGCACAAATATAGACAATTACACACACGGCGCGCCAGAAATGTGAGCGTAGTGGTAACTGCGTTTGATTCCCGGCCACAGCTGACATTGTTGGCAAGTAATATGTGAACCGGTCCTGGGCACAATCGTCACCGACCCGCACTGAGCAGCGTGGTGAAGTGTGGTTATCCAGCAGCAGATCGACAAAAGGCTGTCTCTAACATTACACTTTACCTGTACGTGAAATGGGAGCGCTTCTCAATATTCTGTGCACATACCAGGTCTGAGACCACAGGGTGGATAGGGGGCATGGCAGTGACACTTCAAAGTGAAGAGGCAGTCATAGAGCAGCCGAAGTTGGAAAACTTTTGAGTTTGGAATCGAACAGGGACAGCGGGGGAGGCAGGGAGCCGCCAGGCCAGACAGCTGGGGACAGGGAGGTCCCGACCCTGCGAGCCACAGTAGCGCAGGAGCGACCTCCCGCGGAGCGCAGCTGGTGGCAACAGTGGGACGGACGCACGAGGGGCAGCAGAGCGAGATGGGATATCTAGAATGTTGTTACGACGTCGATCCCATTGCTCCGTGCCAAAGGAGTCATCCGCGAGATGCGCGCGCGTCTCGCCGTTTCCACGTGGCCACCCACGCCTCCTGCTGCTGCTGCTGCTATCGCTGTTGCGTTCACATAAACTTCCCCCTGGCCCCATCCCACCTCTCTGCAAGCTGCCAGCGCGGAGCCGTGGCCTCGTGCCGTCACCAGCAGCTCCAGAAGCCGCGCGTCGACTCCGTGTCTCGAGCGGAGTCGGCGCAGGAGTAGTCACAACCACCACCACAACAACCACAACAACCACCACCACCACACTCACAATAACACAAAAACAACCACAACAACAACCACAACAGCAACCACAGCAACAACCACCACAACTACCACAACCATAAAAACAACAAAAACAAACCATAATAACAACCACGATAACAACAATCACAACCACCACCACAACAACCACAATAACCAACACACCCACAATAAAAAAAAAACACAATAACAACCACAGCAACAACCACAACACCCACAGCAACAACCACCACAACAAGCCAACCACCACAACCATAATAATAACAAAAATAATAATAACAACCCCAATAACAACAACCACGATAACAACCACAACAACAAACACAACAACCACAACAACACCAACCTGCCGTGTGTTGCGCCGTTCCAATCTGGCGCCAATTCTAAAAAGCATGAACTGCACTCTGGTGCGGTGGTGTTCATTGTACCACGGTGTGTGCATTTAAATCGAAGTTTCGCTTCGCATTACATACGTGATTTTTTTTCTTTTTTAAAGATGCAAACGAAGAGGAATTTTGCAAGTCTCTATCCTGAGAATAGCGGTGAATGCCAATCGAGACGTGAATGACGCGTCCGAGTGACCTCGAGACCCTCACGACTCAAGGAGCCCTTGCTGTGGAGTCGTCAAAGTGCTGCCGTCGAAGCTGCCTTGCAATGGTGTCGCACACAATTGTCTGCGCAATTGAATGAACCGTCAACGAACGCAGTCGCTTCGACTGCACGCTGCAGTCGAAGCGTCACCACCATCAGCCGTGATCAACCGGCTTGCATCTATCCATGAAAATGGAAAGCCTGCATTTGCGCGCTCAATTAATTGTTAATGAGCACCCCCAAAACTCCCGAATGCCCCCGAATGCCCCGCCCCTCACTGCACAGCCACCTAGTTATTGAATGATTATCGCTTTGACTCGTGCTCTGTTCCCGTGCCCGCGGCGTTTTGGCACCACGCGGCGCGGCGGCACCCGAGATGGGCGCCGAGGTTTCGAGCCGCGCCCGTGCGCTCCGACTCCTCGCGATGCCCCCCCGCCCATCGCCCCCCCCCACACCACCACCCAGGTTGTCCTCTTGTTGCGCAACCCAAGTCCTCCTCGTCGTCTGTTTTCCCAGTGCGCTCTTGGCGAGCGCCGCTCTTGTGCCCCCGTTCGCACGAGGAAGGAGGTAGCGACGTGAACGACCGAGAGGGGGAGAACGAGCCTCGTTAGCGTGACTCGCGGCGCAGCGCTGTGTCGGCATGCCCGTCACACGCACGCCTCGCGGCCCGCATTCCTCATCATCGTGGTCGTCCGTTATCTCTCGATCCGCTGTTGGATAACAGCGGTGGCGTGACAATCCACCGAGCGTCCTGGCGCGCCAGTTGATTTCATTGCTCCAGCTCTGCCGTCGGAATGCCCCTCCATCGCTACTCTTCGCCACCGACCGGGCCGCCGTCTCTTCTCTCGCGGTCTTGCGACGCTACGACTCGTCCCGCTTCACGCACACGAGTCGCGATCCTCATCGCTCCATCTCCGCGGGCGGTTTGCGCTCCCTCCTTTGGCTGCCACTCCGCCGTTAGTCTCCATCACCGAGAGTCATCGCTCCGCGTGACATTTCCTGCCCAAGGCCCGATTACCTTTCTTCCCAGTCGCGACACGTCTTACGATAACCTTTTGCATGCGTGTCTATTTTGTTATCCCCCACCCTCCCCGCACCTCCGATTAGCTACGTGCGGTGCGAAAGAAGTCCAAGGTCAACACACGCACGTAGACTTCTTCACCGCGTGCGTCTAGACGTCCGTCTCTCGCTGCAAGCGTGCGCGACTCTCCACGCTCCGCTCGTAACCCTCGGCTGTGCGTATGTCCCGCACTGTGTACGGCACAACCCAAGTGCTGTTGCTGCTGCTGCCGCCGCCGCTGCTGCACACGCTGTGAACGCTTCACGCGCCGTGAACACAAGCGGCCCACTCACTCACCTCTCCGTGGCGTCAGGGGACTCTGTGGAACTCTCCGCTACAGCTCCGTGTCACCAGCAGCAGCCACCAGCGCCAGTGAACAGGCGCTTAAGTGTCGGCTTGCTGCGAGGCAGCCCCAGTGCGACTTGAGAGAGGTGGAGTGACAATTCTTGGCACGGCACCTCGTGATTTGCTGCTGCCAGAGGACAAAGTAGCCGCAAACTTAGCAGCGTTCAGTGACGTCGACGGGAATTTCCCAGAAAGTAGTCATAGCAGTAGAAGCGTGTGGGGGAGGGGGGAATCATTTTGTTGGTACCGATTTGATGGCGGGCTGGCCCCACTGTTGATCCAGAAACTCTGTGAACGTCCTTCCCGGCAATGACAACATCGTGCACAGATCTGTATAAACAAATCCAGTTGCCGTTCAGCGCTCTGCTGGCATTTAGCATCGAGACACATGCTGGTCAAAATTGAAAACCACTTTCTTTCAGAACTGCTTTTTGTGTTTAGTTTATCGTCCCTTTACCCCGGGACCTCCGATTAACGCGGTTGGCTGCGTACGGTGCGAAAGAAGTTCAACATACAGGTGATGATTGTAAATGCATCTGAACAACATTTTTTTACCATCATTTGCATGTCTCACTTGCATAGGAATTCGTGCGTGTGTGCACGTGTACTCGTTATGACGTGGGCAACATACACATCGACGCCGGCGACCGGAGTGGAGTAAAAAAACAAACAGCGTCCACAAGATCAACAACACGCAATCGCCGACAGGAGGCACAACAATGGGGATAATGGGGACATCGCTTTGACTGTCACACAACGCGCCTGTGCGTGTGGTCGCTGAGTGTACGCCGTACTTCCCCCGCGCCTCCGGTTAGCAACGCGCGGTGCGAAATGAGTTCAAGGTGAGCGTACGCGATGCAGTGATTCTCAATAAGCGCACGTCTCTCCACGCACTGCTTGTGACTTGCGGCTGTGCGTGTGCCCAGGATGCATCGTCGCGGCGGGAAGGGTGGGTGGATGGGTGGGTGGATGTGTGGGTGGATGGGTGGGTGTGTGGATGGGTGGGTGGATGGGTGGGTGGATGTGTGGTTGGGTGGGTGGATGGGTGGATGTGTGGGTGGGTGGATGGGTGGGTGGGTTGATGTGTGGGTGGGTGGGTGGATGGGTGGGTGGGTGTGTGGGTGGGTGGATGGGTGGGTGGGTGGATGGATGGGTGGGTGGATGTGTGGGTGGATGGGTGGGTGTGTGGACGGGTGGGTGGATGGGTGGGTGGATGTGTGGTTGGGTGGGTGGATGTGTGGGTGGGTGGATGGGTGGGTGGATGGGTGGGTGGATGTGTGGGTGGGTGGGTGGGTGGATGGGTGGGTGGGTGGATGTGTGGTTGGGTGGATGGGTGGGTGGGTGGATGGGTGGGTGGATGTGTGGGTGGGTGTGTGGATGGGTGGGTGGGTGAGTGGATGGGTGGGTGGGTGGATGTGTGGGTGGGTGGATGGGTGGGTGGATGGGTGGGTGGGTGAGTGGATTGGTGGGTGGATGTGTGGGTGGGTGCGTGGGTGGGTGGATGGGTGGGTGGGTGGGTGGGTGGTTGGATGGGTGGGTGGGTGGGTGGATGGGTGGGTGTGTGGGTGGGTGGGTGGATGTGTGGGTGGATGGGTGGGTGTGTGAACGGGTGGGTGGATGGGTGGGTGGATGTGTGGTTGGGTGGATGGGTGGATGGGTGGGTGTGTGGGTGGATGGGTGGGTGGATGGATGGATGGGTGGATGGGTGGGTGGATGGGTGGGTGTGTGGGTGGGTGGATGTGTGGGTGGATGGGTGGGTGGGTGGATGGGTGGGTGGATGGGTGGGTGGATGTGTGGGTGGGTGGATGGGTGGTGGATGGGTGGGTGGATGGGTGGATGTGTGGGTGGGTGAATGGGTGGGTGGATGTGTGGGTGGATGTGTGGGTGGATGTGTGGGTGGGTGGATGGGTGGTGGATGGGTGGGTGGGTGGATGGGTGGGTGGATGGATGGGTGGATGGGTGGGTGAGTGGCCGGCGGCTGCGACTGGCGATGTCTCCGGCGTTGTTTTGTCGAACCCAGGTGGCGAGAACCCGGGAGACCAGGATGAGGTCTCGAGAGACCAGGATGAGGAGTCGGGAGACCAGGATGAGGAGTCGGGAGACCAGGATGAGGAGTCGGGAGACCAGGATGAGGTCTCGTGAGACCGGGATGAGGACTCGGGAGACCGGGATGAGGACTCGAGAGACCAGGATGAGAACTCGAGAGACCAGGATGAGAACTCGGGAGACCAGGATGAGGACTCGGGATACCAGGATGAGGACTCGAGAGACCAGGATGAGAACTCAGGAGACCAGGATGAGGACTCGGGAGACCGGGATGAGTCGCATTGTGCGAGACTGGTGACCCGGATGGAATGGCAAAGGGATGGAACTCGAACCTAAAGGGGACGATCGCCACAGGGATGAAGCGACGAGAGGTCAAGAATGGGATGGAAAGCGGCGTCGCAAGAATGAAAGAGATGGTGATGACAGCGTCGGGAGGCGGTCATCTGGCAGCGTATAGGCAGACATGGTGATGATGGTGAATGCCATAGAAGAACGAGTAATGTATCGGTCAGCAGTTAAGACACTGCAAACATATTGAAGGAGAGTACTTTTATGATTCAACTCTGCTGTATGATAAATCGCGGTGGCCGTGAAACCCAGCGGGCTGGGTGTTGAACCGCTTTACAATCCCACTGGTGTACAGTACACGGAGGTCGCGACTCACGCAGCGTGTCCCGGCTGCACCGCGGCCCGCGTGGGTTAGTCATCGACACATTTTCGACGCAGGAAAACTTCCTCAAATCCATTTCCCATCCCGCAAGAAGAAGAAGAAGCGTCCGTGGCTGCAGCGAAGGCGGCGGGGTTGACGCGAGGCAGTCACCGCTGCTGCCCAGACACACGGCACTGGCAACCGTTTAAGTTTTACAACGTGCAGACTAAGAATGTTGAGGCTCGCCTTTTTTTTAAACCAAGCACATGTTTATTTTAAAATACCAAAATAAACCATCGTCGTGAGTTCAGGTCATGTTGCTAACGGACTTCTCCATATGCCCATTTCCACCTTGAATGCACCTTGGACTCTTCACGTCTCAGAAGCTAAGCGAATTTGAGCCTGGTTCGTACAGAACTTCGATGGCAGACGACTCGGGATCGCCGTGCCAGGTGTATCAGGCGTGGGCCGTGGGGTTGGCCACGAGATGGCGGACACAGCGAGGGATGGGGCCCCGCTCTGCGTCGATCGCTCGTGGAATTGGCCCAAAGCAACACGTTCCGCTACCGACGCCGCCTGCCCTTCATGGAAACAAATGTACGCATGTAACATGCGACGGTTCGGGAAAGGGCATTTGTTCATAGCGTACATGAAGGATCATTGCCCAAAACCCCGCCTCCCCGCTCCCTGTGAGCGGGCGGGGCGTGACGTCCACCCCCTCCACTCCCTCCTCGTCGGCCGCCTCTCGCCGGGCCCCCGCCGATCGGGTGATCGCCCCCCTCCCGTGCCAGCGCCCTCTCTGAGGGACATGGCTAAGTGGCTGGCTCACCACCGCCCGTGGTTATCGCGCACTCGCCCACGTACACCACCACAAAAGCGAACGTGGTGGCGTGCACGCGCGTGCCCGTGCAGACGCTTATTTCCAACAAAGGCTAGCGCTAAAAACGGCGGTATGAATATGCGCGCGCACCTCCGGGTGGCTAAGCCCTAATCCGCTTGCACACGAAGGCTAGCGCTAAAGGGCTGCGCGAATTTGCGCACGCGCCTCGCCGTTAATGCGATTGTTGTTGTTGTTGCTGCGTAAACACGCGCGAGCGTTGGCGAGCGGGTTTAACCCCCCCCCCCGCCCTATTAAATACTCGCGCGGCACGGCTGTTCGGACGCGGGCGTGTCGGCGGCCGTCTAAGTTTTAATACACGCGCGCGCCTCGCACACACACACACACTCTCAAATTACCAGCACCTCTCTCGCGCACACCGTCTCCCCGCGCAGTCGCACCACACGCAAATCGCAGACACCACGCCAAGGTTCTACCCACGCACACAGAAATCGCACCGCGCCGATACTCTGTACTAAAGTTTATTAACGGCGCAAATACACTCTACCTGGAGGGGGAATATATTGCGAGAAGAGCTTATCCTAACTCTGCCTACGAACCCAGTCACTCAAACGTCGGAGGGAGAAGGACGAGCGAAAACCTCACCTGCCACTGCCTCGTAGCAGCACTCGCTGGCGTCACACGGCTGCTGCGAGCGGGTCGAGGAGGCAGGACGGCAGGGAGTGGGTCTTGACGGCCCGGAGGTTGAAGACAACTCGCCAAAATCGTCCCCCGGCTACTCCTTTTATTCCCTTAACTTCAAAGGCCCAGGGTGACGTCGTACCTCGCAGCCAATCGTGCGCTTACCTGCGCCGTCTACATGGAGTGCCACGGAGTGTGCTGCTTCTCCGCTCACCCATTGCTCTCCCGTGCTCATTAATTCTAACCTACTGGTCTGCCCTTCTTGCCTAATATTCCACCCTCCGCCTCTCCCAATGTCGTGAATAACTTATTGCGGTTGGCCCAGTGAACCTTTTCCTTCTGCGCCCACACAATACCCACACAATGCCCACACAATGCCCACACAATGCCCACACAATACCCACACAATGCCCACACAATGCCCACACAATGCCCACACAATGCCCATACAATGTTAAGCCAAATTATGGGCACCGCAATGTAACCTGTCCTGCGAGGGTCGGCCAATCTCTTGGCACCGGGAAACCGTGGGACTTTCCCTCTAGGGGCCCTTCGGATTAAAACCCGATGTGCCAGGCAATCCCCCGCCAGAACACTACTAAGTGTGTGCGCTGCGTGCGAGTGTGTGTTTAGTGCGGGGGCCGGGAGGGAACAGCGGCGCTTGCGGAGTTGCTCCGCTGCCGTGACACCACACTCCTCCGACACGTGCGAGAGGCATCTAAGATCACGGAACGCTTTGACAATGCAAACAGAAAGCTCAGGCTCACTCGCACTGGGTGTTAATTTAAACGAGTTCACGTCTCGCACTCATCGGTCTTTTGCGTACGGCAATTTGCCAGCGTTGTACGCGCACGCAAGCGAACACAATGCTGCCGTGTACTTAGCACGTGTGTGAATAGCGTGGGAAGGAGGAGGCTACACTCGGTGGTCGTGCCGCGTGTTCCACGCCGGAGGAATCGCCCCCAGCTGTCACGGTCGGTCGTGTCAATTAAAAAGGCGATTTTATTTGAAACGTCCCAGGTCGCGGAGGAAATTAATTTCATGAATCTGAACTAAAAAAAGAGTCCCACACGGGCAACGGTGTAAATCTGCTGTCCTTGGCTGTCAAATCTGATACTCTCACCGATGTTGTATCTGTAACGGATTCCCACTCTCACCCGGGAAGTACATTTCACGTGATTATATTTGCTGTGCTCTGCTAGTTCGTGATAACCTTATGAAGAAGTTGCACTTTCACTAAACTGTGACTGCAAAGCGATGCTACGCGTGATAAAGTCTCTACTTCCTCTTACGGTTGGGATGAATATATTGTTTTTCGCTTTGCAAGCCATCTGGGTTAACGTGTTTGGTGAACATTTCTAAAACTACAATAACCACGGCTTTCGTTGGAAGTAAACGTCCACGTAGAAACCTTACATGTCTTCGACTCAATTCGAATCTATCTGTGTGACTCGCTTACATTGTGTAAGAGTCCTGTGTACTTGCTTGCGCTACTTTTGTCGAACTTGATCAAATGCAAAGTATCGAAACGGCTGATTTAACACAAGCGTCTACTGCAGTCATTTTCAGTGTGTGCTTTGTTGTGTGGGTGTTGTGACGTTCCGTGCGATGTCTACTTGCAACAGAGTTCCTGTCGGTGCCCCTTTAGATGTTTGTGACCGTCTCCTGTGACTCATGTAACATCTCTCGACCTTGATATGACATTGAAATGTCGTCTCGTGACTACAGTATTACAAGGTTGTTGCATTTCTGACTGAAGTGGTTTAAAAGCAAAAAAGCATTAATGTCTCAAACGTCCACCTGTGCGTAATACCCTGAAACGCGTTGCATGACCGCGTTAATTGACTTTATTCGAGAAAACATTTCGCCGTAAACGCCCCTTGCTGAACCGGTGCGCTGCGCTCGCAGTGGCACGCGAAGCGACTTCGTGGTCGTGCGTACGCGTTGACGCCACGAGAGCGCGGAGCAGATGCCAGACCACGGAGCCTGGATGCGACCAGGGCCGGATCAAGGCACGTGGCTTTAGGAGCTGCAGCCCAGGGGCCTCCAAAGATGAAGCGAAAAGTTATTTCAGTTGTGAATGCTGAATTTTTAGCCTTGTAAAAATATATTGTATTTTTCTTTAACTTTGTTTTCCTTTTTAAAATATTTACTGGGGGGGGGGGGGGGGGGGGGGGGGTGGGGGGGCGTACAAAATCTTAATCCGGCCTTGGATGCGACACCACGCAGGCGCAGCAGCTCTTGTTCTGCCTGGCACGCTGCCCCACTGAAGGCGGTGCCGCATGTTCTTCATTAGATTTTTATCGCAAGGCGGAGACGTCGAGGCTTGTCTCACACTGCCCTTACTTCAATGGGTACCGACTGTGTAAAAGACATGGCAACAACCGAACCCGTGATTTGAAGAGATTACAAGAGTGAGCGCGTACTGCGGCGCATTCCAAGTTGTAATGGTATTTATCGATGCTGTATTGCTACGATGTTGCTGATCTGCTGTAAGGCTCAACAGTACGTGTACGCGCACGGGCGGTCGAGATCGATTTCCCGTCGAGTCGGTGTCTGGGCGGGGTGGTTGTCTAAAACCCGAACCTTCACGATACCCACTTGCCTGATGGAGGGCCGGTGTAGGCCTGCCCGGGTGTAGAACACACGCGGCTGCACGTTACAGGTTCTGCACAATCGACGTGGTTGTTGCCATCACTCCGGAGCACATCCATTGGGTCGTAGCGACAAGCGGGGCTTTAATTCCCACTGGTCGTTTTCAGGAACGCAGGAGAAGAAATTATCGACGTAACGGCACTACCGCTAGAGTACTGCACGAAGAATACATATCCATTATTATCCTATGTTATTGTAACATGTATTCATGTAATCCTATTTTCAGGTCTTTGACCTTACGTGATATGACATTGTATTGTTATTATTACACGCTTTTTTAACTCACTCTGTTGTATCCTCAAATCTTGTAACTCAATTTTAACCCACTTCCCAATGTGGTATCGACTGCAAACTTGGTATACTTATGTCATACTGATGACAATACTGTATTATATCATTAAAAATATATATTTTTAAACATTATTTTTATATGTTATGTTTCGGCTTGGGTCTAATTGTCCACGCTCAACTGACGTTGGCTGTAATTGGCCATGGTCCCTTACGTCATGGCAAGCTTCGGGGCCACTTCCTGGAGTCGTGGAGTTCTTCCATTACTAGTACATTTCATTAAAGCGTGTTTTAAAAAAAAGTTTTAAAAAATATTACTTGTTTATTTTTGTTCACCCAGCAAATTATTTTGCAGTAGGTGGCTTGTAATCCCAATTGAGCAAATTGCAGGTAATGTTTCAGCATTGGGATGTTTGGTCAATACAATTAACATGGTTTGGGATTTTTTTGTATTAGCCATGGAAATAAACCTGAGAGATCCCAGAGTGAACCCATACAGAAGAGGGGGAGATCGTACAAGCTCCGCACGGAGAGGAGCGGGAGTCGGGTATCGAACCCAGGGGCACCTTGCTGTGAGGCGCGAGTGTTACCGCTGCGCACACCCCGGAGCCCACGTGTAGCGAGTCACTTCGGAGACACGAATAGTAGGAGGCACATACGTTAATTCTACACTTAAACACTTCTGTTCACGCACGGGATAACTACAGATGGGTCAGGACAGCCGGCACGCTGCCTGACCCACGACGCCGAGGAGACGAAGATGAAGACGCGGCACGACGGGTTCCATTCCAAATGACAGCCCCGATCCAGCCTCGGGACCTCCCTTTTATGCCCCCCAGCGTGGCCTGGCTCCGCCCTCGGCCACGCCCCCTTCTGGAACCTACCAGAGGGTTCTGGGCTATACCCCACGTGTCCTCTCTGTCACCTTTGCACTACATCCCTTACCCCGGCCTATCGCGTGCCCTTTTAATCGACCAGGCTGCTGCGTCTTCAGATGTCCTCTCTCTGCCAGCAGCCAGCTCTACGCACCCTAGTGACCCATTCCATGGCATCGCATGCTCTGTTGGCAGATCGGTGGCTACACCCACATTTCCCCTCTCTGTTAGTAACCAGCGCTACGCGCCGTAGTGACCCATTCTACACAAGTGCCAGACAAATGAGATGCAGAGAGTCTTATACGTGTACTTTACATTCCAAATCATTCTTTAATGGTCACGGATCAATGAAAATACAATACAATGTACATATCCATGTTTTCCCTAGGTCTCTTAAATAGGCAAATTCATATATATGATATCGAATATATTTTCTTTAATTGCTTTGTTAAACAGATTTTGTATGATGGTGTCAGCAGATCGAGTCTGTGAAGGTTACTTCGTTGTGCAATTCTTCCCCGCACCATTGGCTCACTGCAAAGCAACATGTACTGAAGACAAATATGCGTGTATTTGACATCGCATAAACGAGTACGATACTTTATCGGCTTTAGATTTCAAAAACACAATATACGCGTTATTCCACTTTTGCTACGGATGTCACATCCTGGACACCGATGCAAATGAGATGTTCCGTCGCAAGGGATTGTACAGGTAAATAATTATATTTTATTTTCATTCAAGCCGGTTGTAGCCGGTTGTAACCATTCACCCTCTTGAAGTTGACCACAATGATGAGGCACTGCTAAAAGAACGCTCGCACTCTCAGAAGGCTTTGCCGGCTGACGAGGTGTGTCAAAATGCTTTGTGAATATTTTTTTTTATTGGAGAGACAAATATGGGAATGAGGGCCAGCGTCTGCTTATTTGTTTTGCTACGAGCTGGTTTTGGGTTTAACTGGGAGTCGGGCCCGGCTCGAGGTCCTCTCGCGTGGAGGGTAGAAGGGCGGGCAGGGCTGGGGGGGCACCGTGACAGAGATTCACCGCTACGGAATAAACGTGCGCGTGGGTAGTGCCGAGGGGACATCGCCTGGTGGGGCTGCAGGGCCCGGCCCAGCCTGGTGCACCCCCCCGCCCCTCCAACCAGGGCCCGAGCCACGGGAGGAGGGGGGGGGGGTTACCCCGGGCCCCGCTGGAGGCCACTCAGGTGACCTTGGTGAGCCGCAGGTCGCCGCGGACGCGCACGCTGTTGATGCTGTGCAGCGGCTGGAGCCGGTGGCAGAACCCGCAGAGGTTCTGCTGGTCCACGGTGACGCGGAATCGCTCGTGCTCGCACAGCAGCTCGCACTGCCCCCAGCACAAAAGACAAAGAGCCCCCGTGTAGCCTTTAGCAGCAGACTGCTGGGGCAAGTGCTGTTAGCGAGTAGCTCCGATGAAGGCCGACACGGCGCACGTGGGTGAGGGGTGGTGGGGGCGGCAGCACCACGCCCGGCTGCTATTGTCTCCCCAATGCTGATGTTTACACAACGCGGCAGGTGCTCATTTAAGACTGAGTTGACCTAAGGGGGAGACCCACTGTTATTGTTCGTGAGCGAAATCGAACTCGTGCTCGCCGGGTTTAATATAGCGCGGTGCGGTGACCACAGCGCCACGGTCCCCGCACACTGCCTGCAACACCGACATACAGTGCGGGCAGGCAGGGGAGTTTGTGTGTTCTCCCCCTGTTCTCCATGGTTTCCCTCGCGTAGCTAAACAAATAAACCCACGCGCAATGCAACCGGTGTTGGCCAAAACATCATCCCACACTACTGAAAATGTGCGTGGCAAACCGCTCAGTTGGGGAATCACACACGCGGCAGCAGCAACGTCGCCCCCTACTGCGAAAACTTGGCAGGAGCCTGCTGAGAAGAGCTGAGGCTGGCTTCAGTGTGGAGTTTTGTGCTCCCTCAAAGTGCCTTGGGGGAAAGCGTTGGCTCAGCGGTTAGCTCGCTGCGCCGTGAACTCGATGAACTGAATTGTATTTCCGGCTCACGGCTAACATCAGTGGCGATGCGGTAATCGAATCTTCTTTCAATCGCAATTATTCACGAACGTAACTCGCTCTCAAAAGAAGGATCGATATAAACACTCTCATGCAGCAGTTTCATTAAGCAAAACAAGTGACGCTTTTCGAGATGAATACCTAACGTGATGAATTATAACATTAAAGATTGAGTGCCGAAGTTGCTCACTTCGCGCCAACTACCTGCGGAAAGAGCATCCACAGGAGAGAGTTCCAGAGAGCTCTCCAAAGGGCGCAGTCCGGTCTCCTCTTCCACACTCGCCAGACGCCTCACAAGCGATCATTGACAATGCGCTTACGTAAAGAGCAACACTGTGGTTGAGAAGTCCAGCAAACGCGAGTTCGCTCGGTGAAGGCCCGGCTTGATCCGCACTTCTTCACAGCGTCCATCACCAGCGGTCTACCCCGCACGTAGATCTTAGAAACCTCTCATAAACCCTCCTAGTTCTGGAACCTTCCCTGAACCGTTAACGACTGGAACCAAAACTGCCTCCTATCCCCGTGTGAACCCCCTTTAGCCAATCCAGTCCTCGCCGGCCGAACATCGGCGTGGTGACAGAAACGTGCGATCGATAACGGATCATCTTGGAACGTCCCGTAACGCACCAAACAAACAAAAAGCCACCCACAACACAACACGTGCGCCGTACAAGCTGCTCGCGACGCCGCCATCAACTGGCGGGTTTTTTTGCCATCGATCCGTACGCGCGCCAGCCGAGGGTGAACCGCGCCCGGGGCTGAGCACTCGCCTTGAAGGGCTGCCCGGGGGTGAAGGGGAAGTAGGGCACGCTCGTCTCGTCCGCGCCCCACTGCCCACCGAGCATGGCGTTGCGCGCGATGGTGCGGCCGGGGAAGTGCACCTCGAGCCTCAGCGCCACATCGGCGCCCTCCTCCGAGCCGCACGCCAGCTCGATGGCAAAGCTGTCGGGGGAGAAGACGGCGCACGAGAAAAGGGGAAAGAAACACACACAACCACCACCGGACTCGCAAATACTGCTTTTCCACTGCCACATCCAAGCCGAGCCAGTGCGCAACCCTCGCGGTATGGGTGGTTTTCCATTGGTTTTTTTAATACCGAGCTGAGTCGGAACCGAACCGTGATCCTCTGGTCTCACAAGATGTCTGAATCGGACTCGGGGCCAAGCAGGGCCAGGAGCGGGGCTAATGACTCGTTCGTTGCGCGTGACGCCAGTACAGTACACCGTGAGGAGTCGAGGGGGCTGCGGCATCTCAATGCGTCTCGACATTAACAATCGAGTTGTTGCGTTGACACGGACTTTGTTTTTTATATCGGACCGAGTACCTCTTGGGATGCTTGGAAACGATGGCAGTCACCATGATCCGCATGCCAGGTCTGATGCCCGTCTTTATCCTCCCAGCGAAGGGCAGCCGCTGTAAGACACAACGTCCGCTCCACGTCTCTACCCCGACGAGGCGCGACCGCAGCGCTGGTTCGGTTAACGCCGAACATTGCTTTGGCGTGACTCCCGTTCGCCTTCTTCAAGTGGTCATTAGGCATCAAGCGCAGCCCTGCAATTTCTTGCTCAAAGCCACTGCTGCCAGGAGGGCCTCCATTCGAGGGAACTCTACAGGGTGGTTTTGGCCTACTCTTCCACCCTGGCCAGACATCTTGAACTAGGCGGGGGTGCCCACATTTTATCCCCACAACACGCGGCCTGCTTCTAGACTGACCGGTGTACACCGCTAGGTGGACAGAGGCGATGGCAGGGGAGTAAAGAAAACAACGGGGCCATTGTTTTTGGCTGCCACACCGGGAGATGGCATCGAACTGTGCTCACCATTGCACCGCGATAGAACCCCTCATTGGTTATTAAAACAATGTTATTGTATCACAATATTGCAGCATTGGGGTGCAGCAGTGGCAATTTAGCGTTAAGATTGAAAGTGTGGAGGGGAGATCAAAACAAGAGTGAATGACAGCATATTGAAAAATGCCCTTCTGGCACATGCACAATGTATTTATCAGTTAAAATATTCCACCTGGACAATCTCTCGAGATGGAACATCTCTTTCGCAAGCGAGGCCACGGTGTTAATGCACTCACACACAACACATATACACGTAATGACACGTACTCATATACACACATACTTCGAAATCTGTAAATGTTCTGCCTCGTGTATGTGTGCTTACCAGAGTGGGAGCGGTAGTGCTCTACAAACCTGGCAACCCCAGTTTGATTTCGGCTCACGGCACAACACCAGCGACGATTATCTGAACTGGACCTGGACCTCCCCTCAGTCGACTGAGCCTCAAATTTTTACCTGATGCAGTGTGTAAACATCGACACTTGGGACATGAAGGCGGCCGGGCATGGTGCTGGCCACCCACCCCTTTGTGTGCCATGTCGGCCTTCATAGGTGTTCACTAACAGCACTTGCCCCAATAATATGTGAAGGCTATACGGGGGAATCTTTGTCTGGTGCTTACCAGTGGACCCTCAGATCTCTCCTCATCACCATCGTCCTGCTTTAGGGAACATCAAATACAAGTCCTGAATATTAGCACGAAGATTTCAAGATTCAAGTTTATTGTTGAACCAGGTCAGAAGTCCAGAAACCAAGATAGAGGAGTCTAATTTGCAAGAGTGGTGACCCGGGTCAAAAACTACTCAAATAAAGTACAGCAATGAGGCAAAGAGAAATCAGCACTAAAACAACGGTGTCACCACGTGAGAAATTGAAAATGTTGCACAATGTAAATGCTAAAAGATACATTCAGTGCGCCGCCAGTTGGCTCGGACAAATTAAAAGACTTAACAGGGGTGAAGCGATGGCACAGCGGTGAGTGAAAAATGTGATGAACCCGGTCACCTGAGTTCGATTCCCGGTGACAGCTAACATCATTGACAAGTGATTTCTGAAACGGTTCCTGGCCCTCCTTTCATTCCACACGAACCAGCGTGAAGTGAAGTAACGTCAAACAACACTCCTAACCAACATGGCACGGGCAGGCCTTCATCCAGCTGTACATTTATCATGGCTGATGAGGATTATTACGACAATAAATGAAAATCCCAACTTCATTTTCCGAGAAAAGCCAATTGAGCTTCGAAACTCTTTTTCAAGGGCGGCTCGATCGATAGACAACATCAACGCATTCCACAATTACAGATACAAATTCACTTCCGTGATTTTAAGAGATCCAGTTTAAATGAGGACATAGATGGCATCATGGAGATGCCGAGAGACGAAACTGGGTGGTTACAAAAGTTTGGGACAGCAGCTAAGGTTAAATGCTTTTTTTTTTTGCTCCCAAATTGCGTGCGACATCTGGCAAACCGTGAATACAAAATAAAGAATATTGGCAGAGTGACCTTGTCGGGGACATGCTCTCTGGGTGGCAGCAGTGATACTCACATGGGGGGGAGCGAAGTCCGCGCCGTGCCTCTTCATCGCGCCCGCCTGCTGCCCACTGCGTCGAGGGGGAGCAGTGGCGCGGCTCCCTGCGCGGCCCCCGCGGGCCTCGCGGCGAGGCTGCAGCCGCGGCGCCCGCGGGGCCGGCGCCGGAGATGTTTGGAGGCTCGGGGCACGCGGCGTCCCCCACATTCCTGGCCGGTCCAGGCTCGTGGACGGCTCACGATGCGTACACCCCCACCCACCCACCCACCCCCCGTGCCCCCCCCCCCCACCACCTAAACAGCCCCCCCCCCCACCCACCCCCCGTGCCCCCCCACCTTCACAGCCCTCTCCACCCCGTGCCCCCCCCCCCCACCTCCACAGCCCCCCCACCCTCCCGTGCCCCCTCTCACCTCCACAGCCCCCCACCCACCCACTGTGCCCCCCACCCCCCGTGCCCCCCGCCACCTTCACAGCGCCCCCACCCCCCGTGCCCCCCCTCACCTCCACAGCCCCCCCTCCCACCCCCCGTGCCTCCCCACCTCCACAGCCCCCCCCCCCACCCACCGTGCCCCCCCACCTCCACAGCCCCCACCCACCCCTCTCGTGCCCCCCCCCCCCCACCTCCCCCCCTAGTCTGCTCTGCCTTCAAGTGCGCAGGGAATCCTGTACTGGCACGCAGCGGCAGATACAGGGGCGACAATTGTTCGAATAAATATATTTTGTTGTTAGACAAACTAAAACAAATAGCTTCTGAAATGTTCGGCCAGGGGTGGCTCTTCGGTGCGTGGTTGTGATCGGACTGTCATTGAAACGAAGTTTCATCCGCACATTTGGCTCCCACCTCGACGCGCACCGATCTCGTGAGATCTCAGACGCGGCGAAACGGAATGCAGCTCGGTCATGATGAGTACCAGCACTGTACGGTAATTCAATATTCAACAGATTATCTGGTGGTGGTGGTGATGTTGCTGCGTTGGCAGCGATGGTGCACAAACAGACAACAATAACATCAAAGAGTGTTGTACGCAAAAGGCAACGTTTCGGGCAAACGCCCTTCTTCAGAGCACACAAAGGGGCCGGAGAGGTAGGCTGGCTAGCCACTGTCTCCTTCATTTCATACCTACATTGTAATTTTAGGAAAACGTTCAATGGAGATGTCACCTGCCGAATGGTCATTGAGACAAGGCTGCTTTGGTTAGGATTACGATAACCCTAACAACCTTCGGAATGTCCAACTTCAACAGAGAGTCTGCCGCATGTTTTGGTCGGAATCCTATTCACGCGAAGCCTTTGACCTGTCCGGGAACACCTTCGCCGAGTCCTTAGACTCTTCACAGGAGGCTCCTGCTGCAACGCGATGTTTGGCAAATTATACTCACGCGCGTTTGGCTTGTGAAAGGTGATAAAATGCATCATACTGTGGGGGGGGGGGGGGTAACTTTAAAATCTCCGCACTGATAGATTTAAGAATCCATTGGTGTACCGGCATCTCCTGGCCACCTCCATTATAGCCGGTGATATTTAAAATCTAAATGGAGTTCAATCGCCCCTCTGCGGCAATTAACGGGGACGGGGTGAAACACGAACCGCATCCTCTGGATGATGGGACGCAAGTGTCGCTCCTGTGATGTAAAGTAGAACTCGGGAACGCGGTACGCTCGTGTACGTGACTGTGTATGTGACTGTGTGTGTGTTTGTGACTGTGTGTGTGTATGTTTGTGAATGTGTGTGTATGTGACTGTGTGTGTTTGCGTACCTACTAAATGGATGGCCCGTGACCGCTACACTACCAACAACAACAACCGCCATTCGCCACTAAGTGGCGGTGACGTCACCACGACGCTTGTGCCAGGCCATGTGCACCTTGAGGCCACGTGGAGTGTCGAACGCCCGCTGGCAGGAGGTTACGGGGCAGACCCAGGTGCCACGGGTCGACTGACTGAGATGACTGAGATGACTGGCTGATGCACCACCTGTGCTCCCTACTGTGCCAACCTGCTGTGCTTTAGCCACCCGGCGCTCCGCTCGTTGTTGTGAGTGTCGCTCCTCCGCCCTCCGTTGTTGTTGGAGGGCGACTGCCTCCAAATGCCCAGTAGTCTCAAGGTGCACCTAGCCTGGCACTAGCCCAGTAGCGTCCTTCACGAGCCTCCTCCACAGAGGCCGATCTTGACACCGCTGGTACCAGTCATCGGCAAGTCCACTCAGCTCCACGTCCTCCTGTACCACATCACTCCATCTCTTCTCTAGCCCGTGCCGCGCCCGTTTAGCCCCCTCGATCCGGCCGAACAAAAGCTGATTCTACATGCGGTGGCTGGGCATGCGGGCTACATGACCCAGCACCACACACACACACAATTCAACACACACAACTCAACACACCGCGGCCCAGCGCGGCCATAACCAACCTCGCCAGCAGGTGGGGCTGTGTCACCGCGTGTCTGCGCACACACGGTCTGTGTGTGTCTCTGTGTGTGTCTCTCTGTGTCTCTCTGTGTGTGTGTCCCTGTGTGTGTCTGTGTCTCTGCGTGTGTCTGTGTCTCTCTGTGTGTGTCTGTGTCTGTCTGTATGTCTCTGTCTGTGTCTCTGTGTGTCTGTCTGTGTCTCTGTGTGTGTCTGTGCGTGTCTCTGTCTGTCTCTGTGTGTCTCTGTCTGTGTCTGTGTTTCTGTGTGTATGTCTGTGTTAGTGTCTCTGCGTGTGTGTCTGTGTGTATGCGTGTGTGTCTATGTGTGTCTGCGTGTGTCTGTATGTGTCTCTGTCTGTCTGTGTGTCTCTGTCTGTCTGTGTGTCTCTGTCTGTCTGTGTCTCTGTGTGTGTCTGTGTGTGTGTCTCTCTGTGTATGTGTCCCTGTGTGTCTCTATGTGTGTCTCTGTCTTTGTGTGTCTGTGTTTCTGTGTATGTCTGTGTTTCTGTGTGTATGTCTGTGTTAGTGTCTCTGCGTGTGTGTCTGTGTGTGTGTCTATGCGTGTGTGTCTGTGTGTGTGGGGCCTGAGCAGGAACTGCTCCTTCACACGTGCAGTCCCAGTTCATTCACGGGCGGTTATAACCCCGGATCCGAACCTCGGCTCCCAGCTCATTGTGAACAGTCGCGCTGCGAGTTGCGAGAGCACGTGGCGTGTTCGTGTCTTATTCGCGTGTCTTTAACATGTGGACGTGTTGAGCGCGACTCAATGCACTAACATGTGAAGCGGTCCTGGGTCCCGCTCCCCCTCGCTATGAACAACCGCTGGGACACAACGGGGATACAAAGGCGTGCGGGCGTGATTCTGACCACACCACAACCACCGGCCCCCTTCGCCGCTCGTGCCGGCCTTCATCGGCGCTCGCTAAGAGCACTTGCCCCAAGCAGCCTGTGCAGGCTACCCGGGGGACTTTTGCATCGTGTGCGGTTTTTTTTTCGCTCCCCGGGTATCTGGCGGCGTCGGTGATGTGAACGGAAGGGCGACGCTTGGATCACTGCCGGGTCACGAGGGATGAATGGATGCGTGGTAGAGCCCTGTGCGACCGGTTCCCGTCGCCAGCGTGCCGTCTTTCATCATCATCACCACCACCTTCATCGCCTCCTCCTCGTCATCCGGTACCTCGTCATCCCACCACTCGCGGTCTGTACGCGCACTGTTCTCATCATCGTCTAGCAATTCTAGCCCAACATCATCTCGCCGTTATAATCATTATCATATAGCGATTCTAACCAATCATCATCTCGCTGTTATAATCATCATTATCTAGCGATTCTTACCAATCATCATTTCGCTGTTATAATCATCATCATCTAGCGATTCTAGCCAATCATCTCGCTGTTATAATCATCATCATCTAGCGATTCTAACCAATCATCTCGCTGTTATAATCATCATCATCTAGCGATTCTAACCAATCATCATCTCGCCGTTATAATCATCATCTAGCGATTCTAACCAATCATCATCTCGCTGTTATAATCATCATCATCTAGCGATTCTAACCAATCATCATCTCGCCGTTATAATCATCATCATCTAGCGATTCTAACCAATCATCTCGCTGTTATAATCATCATCATCTAGCGATTCTAACCAATCATCATCTCGCCGTTATAATCATCATCTAGCGATTCTAACCAATCATCATCTCGCTGTTATAATCATCATCTTGCGATTCTAACCCATCATCATCTCGCTGTTATAATCATCATCTAGCGATTCTAACCAATCATCATCTCGCTGTTATAATCATCATTATCTAGCGATTCTTACCAATCATCATCTCGCTGTTATAATCATCATCTAGCGATTCTAACCCATCATCATCTCGCTGTTATAATCATCATCATCTAGCGATTCTAACCAATCATCTCGATGTTATAATCATCATCATCTAGCGATTCTAACCAATCATCATCTCGCTGTTATAATCATCATCTAGCGATTCTAACCAATCATCATCTCGCCGTTATAATCATCATCTAGCGATTCTAACCAATCATCATCTCGCTGTTATAATCATCATCATCTAGCGATTCTAACCCATCATCTCACCGTTATAATCCTCATCTAGCGATTCTAACCAATCATCATCTCGCCGTTATAATAATCATCTAGCGATTCTAACCCATCATCATCTCGCCGTTATCATCATCATCTAGCGAGTCTAACCCATCATCATCTCGCTGTTATAATCATCATCATCATCTAGCGATTCTAACCCATCATCATCTCGCTATTATCACCATCATCATCATCTATCTCATCATCATCCATTACATTTTTGTCCACCGCTAGTGCCAATTCACTGGTCTGCGATCGGTCTCGCCTATATAATCGTCTAATTAATTCCATCATCATCATCTATCCCACGAGCTAATCAATTACATATTTATCTCATCCATTCCATCATCATCTCGTCATCCTTCCCCTCATTTCGTCCGTTCAATAATAATAATCATCATCATCGACCACATCACCCATCTCATCAATGCCATCCACAGAACCTGGAATGTTCTAAAGTGGTAACTGAACTGTTCGTGTGTGTTTTGTGCTGTCCTTAGGTACACCCCATGAGCAACCATCCCACCATCAGATCATCGACCATCCCATCAACTCATCTCTCAGCCATCGTCCACCACTAGTGCCATTCATGTCATCGCATCATCATCATCATCGTCGTCATCCAGCCCAGCAGGTGAAGGGTGCGTGAGGATGAAGAGGAGGAGCGGAGTTGACGCGGCCGGTGGTGAGGATGGGCCGGGGACCCCCACCAGGACCGTCTCCTCGCACCGGCGACCCAAGGGGAGCCGCGTGGATGGGTCCCTCGGTTCGGGCTGGACTGTCTCCCTGCTGGTTGGAGTCCTGGTCCTGGGAGTCTATTGGCGAACCCTGCACCCGTCAGTGCCCGGTGGAGACTCTGGTACTCGGTGACTCTTCACAGCAGATTGCAGACGATGACTCAAGTAATCGATTACACTACCGGTTATCGATTCGAGATGGAAGTGGTGAAAACACTATGTAGCACAATTTTTGTTCCTGGATAGTAAGTGTTAGTTCGTAATTGCTTATGCCTAAAACGTATAGAAAATGGCTATTATTCCCTACAAACATTGCTTTTGCGACCAAGACAGTGATATTTTGAAATGTAACTATTTTCAATGAGTAAACGGGCGAATTTGTGTCTTTTCGTTCACATAAAGTCAGAAAAAAACACATTTATCAAAATTAACATGTATTTTTACTAAAGTAATACAAAAATGACTACAAAAGATTTAGAAGTTAGTAGTTTTCGAGATTTACGACTATACTGTAAATCACTTTCACGAATCAGTCCCCAAATGTAGTCTCCCATCATGTTCTCGTTATACTGTCCTTGGTAGCGGCTTTCAAAGTCCAGTATAGCTTGGTGGAAGCGCTCGCCTTGCTCCTCCGAGTACGCTCCCATGTCCTTGATGAGCATCAGGGATATGGACTTTGAGGGACATCCTACAGCCCATTGTGCCGTAGTTCTTCACCAGAGTCTCAGCCAGCTCCACATAGTTGGCGACCTTGTGAATGCCCAGGAAGCCACGAACCACTGCGACAAAGCTGTTCCAAGCCGCTTTCTCCTTACTAGTGAGCTTCTTGGGGAATTAATTGCACTCCAGGATCCTCTTTATCTGTGGTCCGACGAAGACACCGGCCTTGACCTTTGCCTCAGACAGCTTAGGGAAGAAGTCTTGAAGGTACTTGAAGGCTGCCGACTCCTTATCTACAGCTCTGAAAAATTGTTTCACAAGGCCCAATTTGATGTGCAGTGGTGGCATCAGCACCTTCCGGGGGTCCACCAGTGGCTCCCACTTGACGTTGTTCCTCCCCACAGAGAACTCGGTCCGCTGTGGCCAGTCCCGCCTGTGGTAGTGCGCCTTGGTGTCTACATCTTTTGTAGTAATTTTTGTATTACGTTATTATAAATGTTAATTTTGATTCATATGTTGTTGTTTTTCTGACTTTATGCGAACGAAAAGACGCAAATTCGCCCGTTTTCGCATTGAAAATAGATACATTTAAAAATATCACTGTCCTGGTTACAAAAGCAAAGTTTGTGGTGAATAATAGCCATTTTCTGTACTTTTGAGACATAAGCAATTAGTAAATAACACTACCCAAAAACAAACTTTTTTTTGTTACACTGAAATAATCACAAATCGGCACAGAACACACCAATACAGGATCCTGACACACAAGACAAAGATCCCCCGTATAGCCTTAACAGACTGTAGGGGCAAGTGCTGTTAGCGAGCACCTATAAAGGCTGGCTCGGTACACGAGGGGGTGGGTGGCCAACACCACGCCTGGCCGCCTTTGTCTCCCTAGCGGCGATGTTTACACATCGCACCAGGTACTCATTTGAGGCTGAGTCGACCTAGGGGAGGCCCAGGACCGGTTCAGATAATCGTCACTGGTGTTGACCGCGAGCGGGAATCGAACCCGTGTCGCCAGGTTCATAGCGCAGTGTGCTAACCACTACACTACCGCTCCCCACTATGGACACACACACACCTGGACACACACACACCTGGACACACACACACACCTGGACACACACACACCTGGACACACACACACCTGGACACACACACACACAGCTCTGCATAATGGCCTCGCTCAGAAAGTGGCTAGGTTTGTGGCCGGTCAACTTGACGACGTTTTTGTGCCGATGGAGAAATTCTAAAAAAGTCGCAACGTCGCCTGCGCCGCGCCACCTGCTGGCCAAGCTCGCGCGTCGTCCGTGTTCGAGCGTGAGAGAGATAGAGGCCGCCCCATTGTGGTGGTGTCTGTGACGATGTGGCTGCTGCTGCTGCTGCTGCTGACAGGGGCGCGCTCGTAACACAGACGACGATAACGAGGAGCTGCAGCGTAGTGGCGAGCGCACCGCGCTTCGGACCTGGCGGCACCAGTTCATCCCCCGCTCGCGACCAACAACAGTGGCGTATATTTGAACTGGTCTTGGGCCTAGGTCGACTCGGCCTCAAATAAGCACCTGGTGTGGTGTGTAAACATCGCCACTGGGGAGCCAGGGGACGTGGTGCTGGCCACCGACCACCTCGTGTGCCGTTCCGGCCTTCATCAGATGCTCCTCGCTAACAGCGCTTGGTTTGAGAGGACAGCATGTCCACCAAGGAGACGTGGCTTATGACATAAGTTTGTGTGCATTTGCTCTCGGTAGATTATTATGGCGGCGGCTTTGGGGGGGGGGACCCTACATCCAGCAGTGGATGGACCATGGCTTACGATAATGGCGATGATGTTGCAACTTCTAGCTGTAGTGTCAATGGCTTGGCATTCTCGTATTGGGTCACGTGGTTCTGCTGCTCTAAAGAACCCAGGCATCGCTTGTGCTATGGCTGGGGTCAGCTACCAAAATAACGAGAGGAGCCATTTTTTTCTTCCGAATTCGGCAAAAAAAAAACCTAAATATTTAAAGGGTCGCAATGCACGGCGTGGTGAATACGAGACGGTGGCGGTCCTTAATAAGTAACGTGTCACGAAGCGGTCCTCTAAGAGCCACCACATGCGGCTCTGGAGCCACAGGTCGCCGACCCCTGAGCCATGGGCACTAGTCGAGCGACCCCTACAACAACGGAATTCCGTTCCCGTCGGGGTCACGCTGCTGTGACAACCTGCGCGGTAGAATACTTGTCGTGTAATAACGAAACGAAAATATTAATTGCCAAATTGTTGCGTTGTGAGCAACAGCGCCAACCAGAGGCGAAGTGCCTGTTTTGGTTGTGTGGCAGATTATGAGGGGTATTAAACAATATACAGTAATTCCTAACCCGCTTTGCCAAATGTGTGCGTTATTATTTCTTAAAGCCATATAAAAGCTCATTACAGTACTTTATTAAGCAAAACACGACCCCATAATCTTGCCCAGTGGGTATTCCGCATTTTCATTTGGAATTTTATACAAACTCTGTACAATTCCACTGCGGGTCCCTGGGTTGTGGTTTTTTTTTGTTTTCTCCCTTCTAACCGCCGTGCTGTCCGTGCCTTCGCAGGTGAGCTGATCACAGCGGCGCACGAGCTCGGGGTGAGTGACCGCCGCTGGCGCCCCCGCCGCGCTCGTTCTCGCGTTTGTGCCCGCCCGGGCGACGCGACCGACGTCCGACGTTTTTCCTCCACGTTGGCGGAGCCGCTCGGTGTTCCCTGTGGGGCGAAACGTCGGGCGTCGTGCCGGACAGCGCGCTGCACGACCCGTGATCGCGTCGGTTGAACTTCGGCGAAAGCGCGCAGCGCGTTCGGAGAGTGCAGCGAAGCGCAGAGTTGAACTTCGCTCGCCGGTTCTTCACGAATGCCTCCCGCTACGTCAGCGCTGCCCCTCGTGACCTTGTGATGCCAATGTCCACCCTGCTCCTGCCCGGGAGCTGCCCTCTTCGGTTCATCTCCGCGGCGGTTTCTCTCTTCGCCGTGCTCCCACATTCGGCTGCCACTCCGTCGTGAGTCTCGACCATCTGCCACCGTCCCTTTGAGCCACGACACGTGCCGCCCATGCCCACCTACTCTCGTTAACCGTTTGAATGAAGTCATCAACCCGCGTATGTTCGATAGTTCGCGTGTTCCTCTTCCGGTCTCATGGTGTTATTCCGAGCGTGCGTCCCTCCACGCTTCTTTACACATTCTTCAATGTGCGGTTTTCCATCCGTGACCAAGTGTCTGCATTGTATGCCACGGCAGATCGGAAGAACATGTTTTAAATGAGTAAACATTGTGGAGAAATATTCCCATATTTGTATACATGGCGCCTTAAGATGCCATCAGATGTATACAATCTGGATTTAGGTCGCATGTCAATGTGAGCGAGCGCATCTTGGCCCGCTGTGGATGTCACTTGATCCAAACCAAACTGCGTTGCAGTCCATCGATGCATCCGAATTGTACGGCGTGCCACGGTGCTGAGCGGTCATGTGTGCATGCGCATGTGTGTGTGTGTGCACGTGTGTGTGTGCGCGTGTGTGTTCACTTGCGGTGGGGAGTGAACCCAGCGACGCGAGTTGAATTCCCACTCATGGCCCATACCAGTGATGATTATATGAACCGGTCCTGGGCCTCCCCTAGGTCGACTCAGCCTCAAATTAATACCTGGTAGGCGGTGTGTAAACATCGCCACTGGGGAGACAAAGGCAGTCGGGCGTGGTGCCGGCCTTACTAGGTGCTCGCAAACAGCACTTGCCCCAACAGTCTGTTAAAGCTACATGGGGGGGGGGTCTTTGTCTTTGTGCTGATGTGCCAGGTGGCTCACCCTCCAGGCTACCCGCTCTTCACGCTGCTGGCGAGGCTCGCGATGTCGCTCGCCTCGCCCGGCTCGCCCGGCTCGCCCGCCTTCCGCGTCAACCTCCTCACCGCGGCCTGCGCCGCCGGCGCCGCCGCGCTCCTCCACGCCGCCGTCCACCGGTACCGCTCGTCCTCGCGCCGGTTTGCCGCGGCGACCCCGCGAGTCGCGAGGGGTCACCGCGCAGGCGGCGGTGGCGGTGCTGCCGCTGCTGCCGCCGCTGCTGCTGCTGCCGCTGCTGCCGCCGCCGCTGCTGCCGCGCGGGCCTCCGGCGCGTTCCAGGTCGCGCCGCGTGCCGTTCCGCACCACGTCTGACGTTTCGCTCCGCGTGCCGTGGAGCCTTTGTCAGTTTCGGTAAAAAAGAAACGCTCGACGAGGGAACGGCCAAACGTCCCGAAGCAGAACTCTCCCCAGTAATTATTATTCTTGTTGTTGTGGTGTTTGATCGTAATGGGAATGCAGCCTCCAAAGCCGAAGTGTTTGCAGGGTGCAATGTGGAGGGAGGGCTCTCACCCGGTGAGCAGAGGACGCCGTGAGCAGGGCCGCAGGTGCCGCCCGTGGCACGTGTGTCGGGTGACGCCCGTGGCAGGTGTGTCAGGTGACGCCCGTGGCACGTGTGACGGGTGACGCCCGTGGCAGGTGTGTCAGGTGACACCCGTGGCACGTGTGACGGGTGACGCCCGTGCCACGTGTGTCAGGTGACACCCGTGGCACATGTGACGGGTGACGCCCGTGCCACGTGTGTCAGGTGACGCACGTGGCACGTGTGTCAGGTGACGCACGTGGCACGTGTGTCAGGTGACGCCCGTGGCACGTGTGTCGGGTGACGCACGTGGCACGTGTGTCGGGTGACGCACGTGGCACGTGTGTCAGGTGACGCCCGTGGCACGTGTGTCAGGTGACGCCCATGCCACGTGTGTCGGGTGCCGCCCGTGGCACGTGTGCCAGGTGACGCACGTGGCACGTGTGTCGGGTGACGCACGTGGCACGTGTGACGGGTGACGCCCGTGGCACGTGTGTCGGGTGACGCACGTGGCACGTGTGTCAGGTGACGCCCGTGGCACGTGTGTCAGGTGACGCCCGTGGCACGTGTGTCGGGTGACGCAGCTGCCCGCCCGTGGCACCCTCCACACGGCCTTCGTGGCAGGGGGCCTCGGGTGACGACGACGTTGTAGTTTGCGCCGAGTCGGTTATGCGGGTCGTTTGACCATACGTCACCAAAGTTTTTAAAGTTGTTACACGCAAATTGTAAAAACACAGAACCACTGCACCCTCCTGTGAGACTTAGCAGGATCCTCAGGAAAACCAGCCTTGAGAATCGCCGAGTCTTCCCAGAGCGTATAAACGACATTGTGTTGTCCTTGTGGGTTGTGGGGGAGGGCCGTGCAGGACCGGTGCAGTTATCACTCGCCAGCCGTGACTGGCAATCGAACTCAGGTCCACCGAGTTCTTCGTGCAATGCGCTAACTGTTGCGCCGCCGCTCCATCGACGAGTATCAATCGAGACCCTGGACACCAGTGCAGTTGAGGCGGTTTTTTGTCGAGGGATTTTGCCGGTTAACTACTGTAATAAATAAAAAAATTTGCTGCAATAAATAATTAAATGCTGCGATAAGTAAATAAATAAAGGACAAATCGTCATCTGTTCCGTGAAAAAATACTGCCGATCATTGTTGATGTTGGGGGTGGGCTCGGCGATTGATTCATTAAAACACAATCGCGTAAAAAAAATCAATCCCGCGATTAATTTTTGACGTGGCTGTCGAGGGGGGGGGGGGGGGGGGGGGGGGGAGGGGGGCACGTGCCGACCCGGACGCGCCTTTTAATTCCCTTGTAGTGACGACGCCGTTGCTCAGCCTGTACGCCCGCAGGTACATGCAGCCTCTGCGTCGAATAGTCCAGCCGTTTAAGCAGCCTCATGAAATAATGTAAAACCGAAGTTGTGCATAAGTCAGAATTAATGTGGATATGGTTCTCCCAAGTTTGAAATGAGGAATCTCAATACCCCTAATGATTGGCACGCAGCTTATGGCGGCGGGAGCCGATTATGAGTGATGGGTGAATACAAAGTTTGGAGTATAATAAGAATGTGCAATTTAAAGTGTGTCAAGCCCTCCTTGGGCTGCCGTGGTGAAGGCTGGGTATAACTTTAATGAATTGCGGGGCCCCCCCTCCTCCTCCTCCTCCTCCTCCCTCCGCGTCCCGTCGTGCCCAGCCCCCCTGCGGGCGCGCGGCTGTTTGTGCGAAGGGAGTCCCGGCGACGGGAGAATGGGTGGGCACAGCTGGGGCAGGCGCCTGCCACCCCTCCGATATGGCGCGGCGTGCGCGATGAGCTTCTAATCCGGGTGCGGGAGATTAAAACGGGGCGCTAATCCGCGGACGTCGCTCCGCCGTCGGGGCCGATGCGACGGGGAGGAGAGCGGGCGGGCGGGCGGGCGGGCGGGCGTTGGGGCCGCCACCCTCTGACGCGCCCGTCACACAGAGGAGCTGACAAGCCCGGGTCAGGGGTCGGCTCATCCCGTCGGGCGTTCTGCGGCGGCGGGGATTAGCTCTCTGCCGCGAGATGCATTACCATTTCAATGGCGGGATTTGCAAAGTTATTGTTGCCGCTCGCTAAACTTGTGAAACGTAGCTAACGGTTTGTAGTGCCGCTTTCGTAGATTACCATTAACCTCCTGCTTAACCTTTTTTTTTTTTTCTCGCCGCCGATCGGGAAGCATATGGAGGGCCGGCTTGCAGTACAGCTGTGCTGCTCGTTGTGTTTACGAATTCAGCGACAAGTCCGCTCGGCCGCCTTGAATGCGCTCCGGGCGTAAGCCCCGTTGTACCTGTGCGTTGACGGCGGCCGGCAAGATCGCGCTTAACGTCGCTCGCTGTTTAAATAACGCGATCCGAGCTTTACGAGCGAAATCGTTGTCAAGTGACTTTCCACCCCCCCCCCCCCCCCCCCCGCCCCCCCCCCGATCGCGTTCTCGGGTGGTCGGAGGCTGCAGACCTGGCACCGTCAATCGCAGCTTTCACAGCGGCAGCAGCCACAAGACGATGGCTCGCTTCGTGGTTGCGGGTTTGTTGAGGTGCCGCTGCCACGCCGTGGAAGTCGGCGGCGTCCCGCTAGTGAAGGGATCTCGGTGACATAAAGTTAACCCCCACACCCCCAGACCCCCCCCCCCCCCCCCCCCCCACTTGAGGGTAATTATCCGAATCAGTCGAAGATGAGCGGAGCGGGCGCGATGATTCTATTAAACATTCGGCACTCCCCGCGGGGAAAACGCGGGCCCGACGTCTCTCCGGTCCACGTCTGAACGTCGCGCGGGGACGCGCGCCCCGGCGTGCGGGCGTGCAGGGCGTCCGGCTCCGTGCCGGCCGGCGTTCTCGCCGCGGGCCTCTTCGCCTTCTCGCGCCTCACCTGGCACTGGGCGGTCGCCGCGGAGGTGTTCAGCCTCAACAACCTCCTGGTGGCGCTGCTCGTCCTGCTGGTGGCCTGTTTCGGCGCGGCGCCGGACGCGCCATCGCGGTGCAAGGTGGGTACCGGCTGTGGCTCGCGCGCGCGTGCCTGGGTGTGTGTGTGTGCGTGCCTGTGTGTGTGTGCCTGTGTGTGTGTGTGTGTGCGTTCCTGTGTGTGCGTGCGTGCGCGCGCGTTGCCACAACTGGTGCATCTTGCCAGTCGTCTCGGTCAGTCAACCCGTGGCACCAGTGCTCTGTCCCGTGACCTTCTGTCAGCGACTCTGCAACACTTCGCGTGGCATCAAAGGGCAGATACGCCATCCCATTGACGTTAACCCCGGCAGGGAATTGACCCTAAAGTGGGCAGGATTGTAGGTGATCGCACGAGCGACCTGCACCGCTGCTCCCCACTCACACACATGTTGTTGCTGCTGCTTCCATAATCGTACACATGTCAAGGTCAACGGGTCATCGCAGATAATGCTGGTGATTAATAATTAAGCAAACTCGGAGTTTATGAAGCCCCCACAATGCCCCACGGCTTCCTCCCTCCCGCTGGATCTCACAGCTGGAGCCTTGTGGACACCTGATCTTCACGGCCTGACCTTCACGGCTCTGACCTTCGCGGCCTGACCTTCACGGCCTGACCTTCACGGCCTGACCTTCACAGCCTGACCTTCACGGCCTGACCTTCACGGCCTGACCTTCACAGCCTGACCTTAACAGCCTGACCTTCACAGCCTGCCCTTCACAGCCTGATCTTCATGGCCTGACCTTCACAGCCTGACCTTCACAGCCTGACCTTCATGGCCTGATCTTCACGGCCTGACCTTCTCGGCCTGACCTTCACAGCCTGATCTTCACGGCCCGACCTTCATGGCTTCTTCACCCCCCCCCCCCATTTCGTTTGTGGTCATGATCTTGGTGGCTGACCTCTGAGTGCTTTTGCATTTCATCATCATCATCATTATGTGGCCATGATCTCTCCACTGTTGGATGCAAGCCTCCCCAGTCTGTCGCCATCTCTCACGGTCCTGCGATGCTTCCTCTAGTGCCTGCGCACAAGCCGAATTCATCGCTCCATCTCCGGGATCATTGCTCGGTGAGCTAACCACTGCGAAACCGCTCAATACAATGTCGGGCAAACTTAAACCCAAATCTTCCCGTGCTAATCCTAGAGCAACTGCGCTGCCACTGGGGGATCGTACGTTGCAAAATGAAATCGCGCGCGTGCGTGCGTGCCAACGTCTCGCACGCCCGCTCTCCGTCTCTGTCTCCCCTCTCTCTTCGGGCGACATGTCGTATAAACGTTGTCTCGTCATCCCAGCCGGTGCCACACACAACGCTGTCGAGCGCCGCACCTGCGCGGCAGCGGCGCACGTCCGTGTGGGCTTGCGATAGTTCTGCAAGCGCGCGTTGTAAAATGCGTGGGGATTCGGCCACCCCGAGTGTTGCCTTTGAATCGCGGCTCCTCGCGCGAGTTTAAGCTCGGCCGCCTTGGCGCGGATTCCCCTTGCAGGTCAGCAGCGAGAGTGGCGCTCAACGACTTCAAACGGAGCGCGAGTCTCCGAGAAGGCGTAACACCTATTCTTGACTTAAAATCGCGCACAGATGTGAATTGGGTTATGGAGATCGCAATTGCATTCCGCGTATTAGACTTTCCACCTACTGCCAGATTATTCCTGGTCTGCGGTGTCTGTACTACGTGGGTGTGCGTGCGCACGCGTGTGTGTATGTCCGCAAGTGGGTGGTGATTATCTGAACCGGTTCTGGGCCTCCCGTAGGTTAAATCATCCTTAAATTAGCATCTGGCGTCGTGTGCGAAAAAAACATCCGAATCCCCGCGCATGGTATTGGCCACGGCACCCCATCCTCGTTATCCGTGCCGGCCTGTTGAAGGCTATACAGGGGATGTTTGTCTGTAAGTGAGGAGTGCTGGCGCAGTGATTAGCGCACAGTGCTACTGACCTTGTATGCCTGGCCACGGATAACTTTGGTGGCGAGTGGTCTTGGCGACCCATAGGTTAACTCGGCCTTAAATGAGTACTTGGTGCGGCGTGTACACATCAGTACTGGGGAGACAAAGGCGGCCGGGTGTGGTTCTGGACAGACGGTGCCATTGCATGCCACACTGGCCTAAACAGGAGCTCGCTAACAGAACTTTACCCAATAGTCTCCAAGGCTATACGGGGGAACGTTGTCTCTATACGTCTATGCAGTGTGCGCGCAACGTATGCGCAACGCACGCGAAACGCACGCGTGTTTCAGTTTGTATCGTGAAGCCACTTTGCATTGATGTATTTTTGGCGAGAGACGCTCCTCGTGGCTTCTGTCGGGAGCAATCGGGACGCTAGGGATTTCAAGGAAGGGACAGGGCCAGAAACTTGTCATTGACGAACAGAAGGTGGCAGGCAGAGCGTTTGGCACGTCGTCAGGACGAGGAGGTGGCGATGGGCGGGACGCGTGGCTCGCAGGGTTGAGGAGGAGGGCAGGTGACCCAGACGGGCATCGGAGTGATGATGCCCAGAGGTCCGTGACCTCAGGGAAGACCTCGAGCCAGACGGTGCTGACGATCACGAGGCTGAGCGGTTATGCTTGGAGGTCAGGGGTCATTCGCCCCAGCAGCTGCAAGAAGTCCCAGAAGAGAGCGGTGGCAGCGACAGCTTTGGCAGTGACGACCTCTTGACCTTCACCTGCAGATGTCAGCTGATTTTTTTTTTCCTCCGAAGGCCAGCTGGGCGCCGTCGTGGTAGCTCCTGTGCTGCACAGCGAGAAGAACATAGGTTCAATTCCCGACTCGGGTCTCCTGTGTGGCGTTTGTACGTTCTCTCCCCCTGTTCTGCATGGGTTTCCTCCAGGCTCTCCGATCTCCTCCCAGAGCTAAAACTCACACACACCGTGTAACTGGTAATGGCCAAACAAATATCCCAATGCTGAAAAACTACGTGCGAATTACTCATGTGGGATCATGCACGGCAGCAGCTTCGCCTGCTGCTGCGAAAACTTGGCAGGACCCTCCTGAAGCAAAAAAAAAAAAAAGATTCGCGAGACTCTGCGAGGCCTTCCCGGGTACGCGAGCGGAATCCGAAGGACAACAACACCGGCTGAGCTCGCGCCGTCGTGGGAAGAAACGCGTCGCTTTCAGTGTCCCCACCTGTCGTTGTCTCCGCAGTTCGCCAAGGCCGGAGCGTTCGTGTGCGGCCTGAGCCTCAGCAACCAGCACACGGCGTCGCTCTACGTGGTGTGCCTGGTGCCCTGGGCGCTGCACGCTCTTCTCGAGCGCAAGGTGGTGTGGGAGGTCGCGCCGCTGCGTTGCTCCGGCGGTGCGAGCGTGCGAATCGTCCCGGCGATGAGCAGAGCGAGATGAGAGCGGTCCGGACCGGATGGTCTTGACGCAAGCGCCGCATCGGGACCTTAAGCTCGCACGCGTGGACGCGACCGCACGGCTCAGCCTCCAGATCACTAAGCTGGCACCATTGAGAGCCGAGAGCTGGAATCCTGTAATTAATAGTGCTGAAGCCACTGTCAGAATATGGCTTATTGGTACCAGCCAGGGGTGGCAAATGCTAACAGGGGTTTTATTGAAATATTTTGTCTCTACATCACAAACGTGCACGATAGCAAGGTCGCCGTGGTAGCTTTGTACGACAGAAATGTGAACTCGGGGTCCCGTCGTGTGTTCGGGCGTGGGAGCATCAGACGGTGCCTACGCTGACATTCCAACTCGTGTACACTGCCCGTGGTGGACCCTGGCCATGGTGGACATTGCCCATGGCGAGCAGGCCTCAACATTGGCATTGAGCTCTTGAACATAGTGCCCTTAGCGGGAATAGAATAGAATTTTGGCACCCAAGGTGGTAGCCAGCTAATCCCCTTGGCTCACGGCGTTCAGGATGCTGACGTGGACCCCGCGTTCCGAGCTGACCCCTGACCCCCGACCCCCGACCCTGCCGCTCGCTCGCCCAGGAGCTGGGGGCCGCGTCGCTGCTGCGCCTCGCGGCCTGCTCGGCCGCCGGCCTGCTGCCTCACCTCTACCTGCCCGTGTCGTCACACCTGGGCCTCGCGCGCTGGACCTGGGGCGACCAGTCGTCCTTGCACGGGTTCCTGACGCACCTGCTGCGCCAGGAGTACGGAACGTTCAGCCTGGTGAGCGAGCGCTCCCTCCTCGGTCTGGTGAGCGAGCGCTCCCTCCTCGGTCTGGTGAGCGAGCGCTCCCTCCTCGGTCTGGTGAGCGAGCGCTCCCTCCTCGGTCTGGTGAGCGAGCGCTCTTTACTCGGTCTGGTGAGCGAGCGCTCCCTCCTCGGTCTGGTGAGCGAGAGCTCTTTACTCGGTCTGGTGAGCGAGCGCTCCCTCCTCGGTCTGGTGAGCGAGCGCTCTTTACTCGGTCTGGTGAGCGAGCGCTCCCTCCTCGGTCTGGTGAGCGAGAGCTCTTTACTCGGTCTGGTGAGCGAGCGCTCCCTCCTCGGTCTGGTGAGCGAGCGCTCTTTACTCGGTCTGGTGAGCGAGCGCTCCCTCCTCGGTCTGGTGAGCGAGCGCTCTTTACTCGGTCTGGTGAGCGAGCGCTCCCTCCTCGGTCTGGTGAGTGAGAGCTCCCTCCTCGGTCTGGTGAGCGAGCGCTCCCTCCTCGGTCTGGTGAGCGAGCGCTCTTTACTCGGTCTGGAGAGCGAGCGCTCCCTCCTCGGTCTGGTGAGCGAGCGCTCTTTACTCGGTCTGGAGAGCGAGCGCTCTTTACTCGGTCTGGTGAGCGAGCGCTCCCTCCTCGGTCTGGTGAGCGAGCGCTCCCTCCTCGGTCTGGTGAGCGAGCGCTCTTTACTCGGTCTGGTGAGCGAGCGCTCCCTCCTCAGTCTGGTGAGCGAGCGCTCTTTACTCGGTCTGGAGAGCGAGCGCTCCCTCCTCGGTCTGGTGAGCCAGCGCTCTTTACTCGGTCTGGTGAGCGAGCGCTCTTTACTCGGTCTGTTGAGCCAGCGCTCCCTCCTCGGTCTGGTGATCGAGCGCTCTTTACTTGGTCTGGTGAGCGAGAGCTCCCTCCTCGGTCTGGTGGCTACGCTGCTGCTGCTGCACGTGGCTGCCTGGAACCTGGCGACGTAGAGGCAGCAGCGAGGATTGGTGGATCGCACACAGATGGGCTGTGAAACTCCCTTCCCCCGTGGGCGTCGAGGAGGAGACGGCAAATGTGAACTAATGTCACCTGTTTTGTGTGGGATAGAGTGTTGGCCCCTGTCCTGTAAGGGAGAGCGTGTTGACCCCTCGCATGCGTGGGTTCTCTCCGGGCATACAACTCATGATTGGCCAGTAACATCTTAATATGTGGAGAACCACAGAGTTTGGGGAATTTTTGGTAGCGCCAGCTGCTGCTGCCTGGTGCCTGTGGCTCCTTGGGGCGTTGTGAGAGAGGCAATTGGCAGGAACATCGACTACGATGTGAAACTAAACATTGACTACGATGTAAAACTAAACATTGACTACGATGTGAAACTAAACATTGACTATTACGTGAAACTAAACATTGACTATTATGTGAAACTAAACATCGCCTACGATGTGAAACTAAACATTGACTACGATGTGAAACTAAACATTGACTACGATGTGAAACTAAACATCGACTACGATGTTATTTTTTTCCATCGTTATAAATGAAGCACAGTGTAACCGGAATTGGCCACAAATTCCATTGCTGAAAAAGATTACCTGGCAATCACTCATTTGGGATCACACAGCAGTAGCAGCAGCAGCAGCAGCAACATCGCCTCCTGCTGCGAACACCTGGCAGGACCCTCCTGAGAGTGAGCCTTGAGACTCAGCTAGGCTCTCCTGGGTAAACGAGCGCCAATGAAACAAATCGATATGATCGCCCGTGACCATTGGCCAGTTGCAGCTAATCCCTGAACGTGCCTTCATTCACGCTGCTTTACACGACACGGCAAGGGAGAACGTCGCTTGACCACACGTCATGCGGCCAACCCCAAATCGCCCGCAGCGCGCGCTATCTCGCCACGTCTCGGAAGCTGAGCAGGGTTGAGCCCCGGCCAGCGCTTGGACGTGCGAGCACCACGCCATGCAAACAATGGCGGGGTTATGCGCAGCACACTCGGTCGTCGTGCTGTGTGATGCTGCAGACGTCCGTGCTCCTCGCCGCCACCAGCCCTCGCTGGCCAGCGTGCTGAGGCCTTCGTCCAGCGGTGGATGGAGGCGGCGATGGCCGCGGCTCTGTGTTTACCCCTTGGCGTCTCCGCTCCGTTCTGTTCTGCAGGCCAAGTCCGGGTCGGGCTCGGGGATGCTGACGATGCTGAGGTACGGCGAGTGCCGCCGTGATTCTGCGTCGGCAGTGGGGCGCAAAAGGCGGAAAAAACCTCGACTCGTCCCACAATAACACCGGGGCCCTAATAGGAAAAAAAAGCATGCATATTATAGGCAACATTTAGGGCGTTAATGTGTAATATCAATATAATAGTCACGAGGTCGCGATGGATGGGGTTGCGAGGTCGTGAGGGATGCGGTCGCGATGGATGGGGTCATGAGGTCGTGAGGGATGGGGTCGTGAGGTCGCGAGAGATGGGGTCACAAGGTCGCGAGGGATGGGGTCGCGAGGTCGCGAGGGATGGGGTCGCGATGGAAGAGGTCGCAAGGGATGGCCGAGTGTTGAGACGGCGGAATGAGGGGATGCTGCTTGTGTGCCGCGCAGCGTGCAGGCTACACACATGCACCACGAGCTGCTGGGCGTGGGACCCCTGCTGGCTGCAGCACTCTTCCCCCTGCTCGTTAAACACAGGTACCAACACGGGCACCTACACGGGTAGCAACACGGTGACACACACGGGCGGTGACACACACGGGCGGTGACACACACGGGCACCGACCACGGGTAGCAACACGGGTACCAAGATGTGCGCTAACACAGGTATAAAGACAGGTCTCTAGACAGGCACCGAGAGAGGCGCAGAGAGGCAGTGCATGTGTGTGTCTCCGTGGGGGGTCAAGGCAGTGTCCACGTGGGGGGGGGGTGACTCCCCTCCCCCCCACCCACCTGCCGACTGGATTTCCACACCGACGTTACGGAGCAGCGTGAGTTTCAGCGAGCAAACTCTGGCCCGGGTTTTTTGGCCTTCCGGGTCTGGTCGGCAGCGTCAGGCCTTGTTAAGCGAACGCCGCTGGATCACCCAGATGTCGTCCTCGCCGGGCCTGACCCCCGGTGCCTCCCTCCTCTGAAGATAACAAAGCCGCGAGAGACACGGAGACGTCCAGCTCGGGCGAGCATCGAGGCGGCGCTCGTCGCCTCGACGCAGCCCTGAGCCAGCGGTGAGAAATTCCCCGTTCCCGAGTTTACGGACAGGACAGCCACCGTCGGTCCTTCCCACAGCGATAACACTGTGCAGGGGCGGAGCCAGGGGGGGTGACAGGGGTGACATTCTGCGTATAAGTGTATGACACTCGGTCTGGCGGACTCCCGGACTCCGTGCAACTGCATTGTCAGAGTGTGTCGCCAACCGATGGCGTCTCGTACAACAGCCTGACTCTCTAATCATTCTTGAAATTAAAATGTGTTGAATGTCACCCCGGCCTGAAATTCTGGCTCCGCCCCTGACACTGTGTAACAATTTTTTTTTGTTCCTGGGTAGTAAGTGTTATTTCCTAATTGCTTATGCCTCAAAAGTACAGAAAATTGATATTATTCCCCACAAACTTTGCTTTTGTGACCAGGACAGTGATATTTAGAAATTTACCTATTTTCCGGAACATTCCGGATAGATTCAGTGATTAAAATAATTTCATCGACCCCGGAGGGATGATGAGCCGAGTCAACCCCCGCGTGGCCACGGTCAATGCGGACTTCACCTTCCTCGCTCGCCGCGCCGGTGACACCGTCGAGGTAACGGAGCGACGGCCCACCGCCCTTCGGGGACACACAAAACCTCTCCCCTCCCCCTCCTCAAGGAGCCGCGAGCGAGACGCGTTGCCGCCCCTGCTGCTGGCGCTCATGCTCGCCGTCTACTCGCTGGTGTTCGCCTGGAGGGCCAACCTGGACGTCTCGACGCCGCTCCTCCTGGGCGTGGTGAGAGACGCCCGCGTGAAGGAGCCGTCGCCCGAGGAGACGGCGGTCCCCGGTCGAGACTCACGACGGAGCGGCAGCCAGAGGAGACGACGCTCGCCAGACCCAGCGATGGAATCGCGATGCAGCACTCCACGATGATCCACCATGATCGCACGGAGCTCATTTTACCGTGCTGTCCATCCTCTCGGACGCGTTCCCTCCATTGGCTGCCACTCCGTCGTTAGTCTCGACCACCGGCCATCGCCCCTTCTAGCCGCGACGCGTCCTGTCCAAGCCCACTGACGGTCGTGATTGTCGGTTCAATTTTACGTCTCGAACTTGCGTTATGCTCTCCAGTCGGCGCGTGCCTCTTTCTGTCTCGCTGCAATTCCGAGCGCGTGCCTCGCCATGCTTATTTTCGTGCACTTTTCAACTTGTTAAAGATGCATCAACAGTCTGCACGTCACCGGCATATCTGTGAGCACAATGATCATCCCCCCTTGTAGCCGTAACAGACTGTCGGGGCAAGTGCTGTTTGCGAGCGGCACCTATGAAGGCCGGCACGGCACACGAGGGGGTGGGTGGCCAGCACCACGCCTGGCCAGCACCACGCCTGGCCACCTTTCTTTCCCCAGTGACGATGTTTACACATCGCACCAGATACTAATTTGAGGCCGAGTCGACCTAGGGGAGGCCCAGGACTGGTTCAGATAATCGTCACGGTGAGCGGGAATCGAACCCGGGTCGCCGGGTTCGTAGTGCAGCGTGCTAACTGCTACAACTACCCCGTGTTCAGACATGGCAACACTTTAGTTGTATTTGCATGCCCCCCCCTCTATAAATAAGCGCTTTGTGTTTTGTTGGCAAATAGCTCAGCCTGTTGGCTTAACCAGTCAAACATGTTTACCCAACAATTTAGAACGAGCCTCTTGGACTCCCTATGTAAGTAGTTGGGGCTCTGTAAATGTTATCTTACAGACAATAACAACAATAGTACCCTTTGTTTATCTATAAACGCCTCGCACATTATTATTTTGTTTTAGTATTTCACAAGAGCACTGCGCGTTTACGTGGGAGCCACGGCTTAGGTGGTGGGTTGGGGGTGGCGACGCAACGCACGAACCCGGCTCTGCGCCGTGGGGTTCCGGGCAGATGTACGTGGTGACGTCACCACTGCACTCTTCCCTGCCTGCGCCAGCCAGCAAAACTTTTCTCATCTTGCCTGACATGATAGGTCCAGCACTGGGAAGTTTGGATGATTCCTCACTGATCAGTTGGCATGTGGGAGACAACCGGAGCGCCCGCAATCCATAGCGATTGGTCAGCTACCTACTTTCTGTACGGCCATCTCTACAGGATTAACGTCTCACAGGTGCAATAATCTTGATGTGGTCCACCAACCCTACCTACAAAGCAGTCACCAGTGGACCGTGATATCTGAACCTGTGACCTTTCCTAGGGTGACTCACCCTTAAATAAGTACCTGGTGCGGTGTGTGTAGTCATCAGAACAGAGGCAACCACACGTGGTGCAGTCCACATGATAATCTCGGGCGCTGTGCCGGCCTTAATAAGTGCTCGCAAACAGCACTTGCCTCCAGCGTCTGTTGCGTAAGCCACTGGAGCCGTGCACTTTAAAATCTAGATTGAAAACTCATTTCTGACAACCCGCTCCTTGTGTTTAGCGCGTCATCCTTCCCGCGCACCTCGGATTAGCCACGGTTGGTTACGTGCGGTGCGATAAAAGTTCAACCTGTTGCTGCAGGTGGAGCGCTTCTGGCTGCAGAGCAACCTCGTGGTCTGCGTGCTGGCCGGCCTTGCCGCCGCTCGCCTCGGCGCCCTCGCGCGGGCCCTGCTGGGCCACGGGAGGCCGCTGGCCGCTTGCGAGTGGCTGCTCGTGGCCTGCTGCGTCCTGCTGCAGCTGCGGCGCAACTGCAGGCAAGGCCGGCGTCGTAATCGTTGTCGTCGGTCCCGCGGTCAGCCCGCCGCCGGACGAAGGCCTCACCGTCGCCGTATCTCGCGGGCCCGCGATGTTACGTGCCCGCCCAGCGCCCGCGCTGAAGCTGTCGCTCCATCTCGCCGGTGGTCGTACACGCACATTGCTCTGATACTGGTGTCCTCGGAGCAGGGAATCACGTCGTCGTCGTCGTCGTCGTTGTTGCTGCGTTTTTTTGTTGTGTCAGCGTGTGCGACCAGAGCTCCAACGTGGTGGTGGAGCAGTTTGGGGCCAACATTTTGCGATCGCTCCCGCGCGGCGCGCTGGTGCTGACGCGGGGCGACCTGCCGGGAAACGCGCTGCGCTACCTCCACTACTGCGAGCGCCGGAGGCCCGACGTGGTCCTCGTGGACCAGGAGGTGAGGCCTTGGCCGCCGGCGGACGCACGCACGTGACTCGCGACGGCCAAGGTACGGGACGCGTCCAAGAGGACGTCCGTCGTGGAGATGGAGGGGCAAAACCGGTCCGTGCGCCGGGGCGGAGTGGATTGTTACGTCGCGGGAGCGCGAGAGATGTCGACGGCAGTGGCGGCTCGGGGAGGTCTTAATCCAGCAGTGGATTAACCATGGCTGATGATGATGAATATTAACTTTAGAGCCTGTAGTCAATCCACAACGAGATGGGCGCCTCCCGCACTCTCCCCCACTCACCCACACCCTCTCACACTCACCCACACTCACCCACACTCACCCACACTCACCCACACTCTCCCACACTCACCCACACTCACCCACACCCTCTCACACTCACCCACACTCACCCACACTCTCCCACACTCACCCACACTCACCCACACCCTCCCACACTCACCCACACTCACCCACACCCTCCCACACTCTCCCACACTCACCCACACTCTCCCACACTCGCCCACACTCACCCACACTCACCCACACTCACCCACACTCTCCCACACTCATCCACACCCTCCCACACTCACCCACACTCACCCACACCCTCCCACACTCTCCCACACTCTCCCACACTCACCCACACTCTCCCACACTCTCTCACACTCACCCACACTCACCCACACTCACCCACACTCACCCACACTCTCCCACACTCTCCCACACTCACCCACACTCACCCACACCCTCCCACACTCTCCCACACTCTCTCACACTCACCCACACTCTCCCACACTCTCCCACACTCACCCACACTCACCCACACTCTCCCCCACTCACCCACACTCACCCACACTCACCCACACTCACCCACACTCTCCCCCACTCACCCACTCTCTCTCACACTCACCCACACTCTCCCACACTCACCCACACTCACCCCCACTCACCCACACTCTCCCACACTCACCCACACTCTCCCACACTCTCCCACACTCTCCCACACTCACCCACACTCACCCACGCTCTCCCACACTCTCCCACACTCACCCACGCTCTCCCACACTCACCCCCACTCTCCCACACTCACCCACACTCACCCACACTCTCCCCCACTCACCCACACTCTCCCACACTCACCCACACTCTCCCACACTCTTTCACGCTCTCCCACACTCACCCACACTCACCCACATTCACCCACGCTCTCCCACACTCTCCCACACTCACCCACACTCACCCACACTCACCCACACTCTCCCTCACTCACCCACACTCTCCCACACTCACCCACACCCTCCCACACTCACCCACACTCACCCACACTCACCCACACTCTCCCACACTCACCCACACTCTCCCACACTCACCCACACTCACCCACACTCACCCACACTCACCCACACCCTCCCACACTCTCCCACACTCTCTCACACTCACCCACACTCTCCCACACTCTCCCACACTCACCCACACTCACCCACACTCTCCCCCACTCACCCACACTCACCCACACTCACCCACACTCTCCCCCACTCACCCACACTCTCCCACACTCACCCACACTCTCCCACACTCACCCACACTCACCCCCACTCACCCACACTCCTCCCACACTCACCCACACTCTCCCACACTCTCCCACACTCTCCCACACTCACCCACACTCACCACGCTCTCCCACACTCTCCCACACTCACCCACGCTCTCCCACACTCACCCCCCACGCTCTCCCACACTCACCCCACTCTCCCACACTCACCCACTCACCCACACTCTCCCCCACTCACCCACACTCTCCCACACTCACCCACACTCTCCCACACTCTTTCACGCTCTCCCACACTCACCCACACTCACCCACATTCACCCACGCTCTCCCACACTCTCCCACACTCACCCACACTCACCCACACTCACCCACACTCTCCCTCACTCACCCACACTCTCCCACACTCACCCACACCCTCCCACACTCACCCACACTCACCCACACTCACCCACACTCACCCACACTCTCCCACACTCACCCACACTCTCCCACACTCACCCACACTCACCCACACTCTTCCACGCTCACCCCCACTCACCCACACTCTCCCACACTCACCCACACTCTTCCACACTCACCCCCACTCACCCACACTCTCCCACACACAGGATCCCACACTCACCCACACTCTCCCCATACCAATTCTCGAGTGTGCATGCACCGTTGGTCTCGGTGGCTGGGGGTGGTTTGGGGGTGGTGGAATGTGCTTGCGTAATTGTGAGAGTGATTAAGCGCAGAAAATGCTTACGAACAAGAAAATACTTAATAACAAGAAATAAGCGGGTGGTGGTGGAGGTGGAGGGGGGGGGGGGCATGTTGCGGCTTGTTGATACGCAGCAGCAGCAGCAGCAGCGTGATCCGCGGGCACTTCATTTACAAACTTCACCACACAGGAGTTGAGCCTCCACGGTCGCCGTGGCGTGCGTGTGCTTGCCTCCCCGCTCCGCTCGCGGGCCCACGCTCGCCGCGACGTCACGGCGAGCGTGCCCGCGCCGTCGATCCTCGCCGTCCTCTGCCGCTCGGGGTGTCCGGGATTCCTGTCGCTCGCCCCCCGCGTTAATGCCCCGCATTGTACATCTGCGCATGCATAATTGCTTAATTTCGGCCTTGTGATTCGGTTGGAAGGGCTGACTGCGGTTGGCACGCGTTCCCAATTGCCTCGCGTGCGAGGCCACAGCTTGGTGGATTGCTGCGCGCTCGAGATAAGCCACGCGGGGCTGAGGCTGAGAGGTTTTTCTTTCCTTTCCGATATGAAGAAAAAGGCGCAAAAAAAAAAAAAGGTTAACTCTCTTCCCGCCAAGAGCTCGCGCCGGAGATCGGGCTGTGACGGAGCGCCGTTCCGCGAGCGTCAGCGCCGGTCTCCCGGGCGGGTGACGCGCGCGAGCGGGGGGGGCTGGCTTCGGCTTAACGTCTCATTGTGCGGCGGCGGCGGCGGCGGCGGCCGCGGCGCGGGTCACACTCAGGAACCCTCGGCAACCTCTCCACGTGAAAGGGATCCGCTCTGTTTATTGACGTTTGCGTTAACGCCAGCGCGGGGAATTAACCTGCGGACGGTCCGCGCGGGCCCCGCGATTAGTCTCGGCGCTTCCCCGGCGCTCCGCCGGCGCTTCCCCGGCGCTCCGCCGGCGCTCCGCCGGCGCTCCGCCGGAGCTTCGCCGGAGCTTCGCCGGCGCTCGCGTTTCGCGAAAGTGCCGCGTCGTGCGCCACCCGCAAGGGGATCGCAAACACGATTTTGATAATTTGATTGCAGCGCAACGATGAAATAAAATTGGCAATTTTTGTTTTTACCCCACCACCAAGTGACGCACAATGTCGCGATTTAATAAACGCAGGCTCAGGTTTTATTTTAATATTGTTATTATTTTTTATCCTTCGCAGAGACAATCCTGGTCTCATTTGCCTATTAAATGAAGGCAACCTCTATCCATCACAAATCTATGAAATTCAGGGCACCTCTTTCAGTTTTCAGTTTTGCGATTGGCAGGCGCATGCCAAGTGGCCGTCGCGAGTGCCCCCGTTGTAGGTTCGTCATCGCCAGCCATGGTCCTTCCACTGCTGGATGAAGGCAATCCCAATCCACCGCCACCCCTAACGGGGGATCCCGCGATGTCGGATTCCACGTGGCACCTGCGTACGAGCCGATCCATCGCGGAGGTTGTCAGGTCACGGTCAATGCTGGCGACCGCCGCGATGGGAGGGGGGGGGGGGGAGGAGGTGGGGAGCGGGCGGGATGGGCGGGTGGGTTGGTGGGGTGGGGGTTAATTGCCGTAGCTTCGGCGCGATTGCTCCTCGTCCCCGCCGCGGCCCACTCGGGCCCTGTCGGCTACCAAGACGCGGCGAGCTCCTGCGGCGGGTTCCTCTCCAGGAGGATTAACGTGCAGAAGAAAAGGAGGGAAATGAGCCTGCTTTCAGGGCGTCTGACAGCTGATTGACGCCGCTGGAGTGGGTGTTAGAGGCGGCCGGTATGACTGCTCGTTTAAATAACTCGCGGCTGATTGACGGAGCGTTTGTGAAACGCGTTTAGAAACGAGGAGCGCCTGCCGCGGGGCGATAACCGCCGAGCGGCGCTCGCCGCGATACGAGCGACTTGCCGAACGCAGCTGGCCGCGCTGGGACTTACACGTCGGTTTTGCCCGGTGCGTTGCTCAAAGTTCGGCGAACAATGTTTCATGCTGATGTCCGCTTCTGAATGCGGCAGGACGCGTGTACTGGGGGTGTTAAAAATACACGCACGCATACGCAGGAGTCGCTTACGGTGCGGACAGCGGAGGGCTTTTGCCGCTGGAAAGTTGACACGTTCGGTAAATACGTCCGCGAAGAAAATCTAAATACTTAACGCCCGTCGATCATGAATCGGTGAATGTTGGTGTGCGGTATAAAGTGTGGAAATTGTTCATTGCCGAGTGTCGACGTTAGGGCTGCCGCGATCCTACGATGTAACGATCCGTGGGCGATGTCCTGCCAGTGACTGCCCTCTCTCCCTATTAAATATGACAGCGTTCTTGAGATGCCATTGCATTTAGATGCTGAATCAATCCACGCGTTGGATTGTTTCATCGCGCCTATGTGTGTGTTTGTGCGCACTTGTGCAGGCAGTGGCGGTGCAGCGGTTAGCGCACTTGCGCTATGAACCCAGCGGCTCGAGTTCCATTTCCACTAACGGCCAACATCTGAACTGACCCTGGGCCTCCCCTAGCTCAGCTCAGCCTTAAATAACTAAGCGGCTGGTTCGCTGTGTAAATATCGCTCCGGGGAGCCAGAGCCGGCCGGACGTGGTGCTGAGCTGAATATCTGCTCGCAAACAGCACCACTGCGTGTGTGTGTGTGCGCGTGTGTGTGTGCGTGCGCGTGCGTGTGTGTGTGTGCGTGTGCGCGTGTGCGTGTTTGTTGCACGCAGCTTCTAACGTACCCGTGGTACGTGCGCAAGCTGGGCCCCCACCTGCCCGGCGTGCGCTTCCCTGGCGACCGCTGGCATCCTGCGGAGGGCCTGCTCCCTGACGGGACGCTCGCCTTCAGCATGAGGAGTTTCCTGGAGGAGAACCGGGGGTACGCCACCCCCCCCCCCCCCACACCGCCGCCTCCCCCCACACCGTCGCCCCCCACACTGTCGCCCCCCCAGGCTGTGAAACAGGCCTGGCTCCGGCTCCTATCCACAACAATATTCTGACATTGTACCTATAATCCTATAATCCTATGCGCATGTTTATCGGAATGTAGGGTACAATGACGAGAAAAAGGCGAGATGGATCTCTGGCGTGGCTGCATTAATTCCCGAAGAGCGTTCTGGACCGTTCCTGCTGACATCAATCGCTGGGTGTAGCATTGAGATTCGGATCACTCGCACGGCAGTGCGTGCCTTCGTGCTAGAGGACGGTCCGCAGAAGCGGGTATCACGGAGCTACTACTGAGATCACTTAAAGTGAGCTCTGTTCAACACGGTGGGGGGGGGGGGGGGGGGGGAAGCGATTTCCCACCCACTCTGCATATTAGAATAATGTCCATGGGATAGGTCATGGCTGATGATGGTGATGGTGATGATGGTGGTACTGTAGGTGTATTGACCATGCACATGCGCGGCCCGCTGCACGGAGGAGTTTCACGATCCGGTGACGCGAGCGGTATACGGAAAGCCACGTGCGGCGGCGTCACATTTTTTTTAAGTTACTCTCACACTTTTACTCCGTGACTAGATTTGGTAACACCAAAGGGCAACTTTGCCCCTGACTGTACCTGTCTCTGAAACTTAACGTCTTCCATCATACAGGGTTTTTATTTTTTGGGTTAGACCCGCCCGACACAGCCAATTAGTAAGGTTTGTCACCGAAACAAAAAGTGCCAATGAGTTACTAGCTCGGCACACCGGTGTGTTGGCGAGTAAAACCCACAACATTTTTCAATTCGAGTGCCTTCGTGAGAGCCTTGTGCTATAAGTGCACCGGTGGTACAAGGGTTAACGCACTGCTCTATAAACCCGGCAACCGAAGTTCGGTTCCGGGCCACGCCTCCACTCAGTCGCAGGTGACATCAGAGCCGCTCCTACCCGTCTCGCTTTCACCAAACCCGCACGAACGGGCGTGGTGAAGTATGGTCAGGGGACGCCCACGTGGGTAGTTGCGCTCATTGCACGTGGCGCGCGGGGGGGCGGGGGGGGGGGGGGCGGCCGTCGCCCCGTTAGCGGATTGAGATGGGCCGAGCAGCATGCCGGTGTCCCCGCGGCAGGCGACCGGTGTTCTCCTGCATCGGGCTCTCCGAGGAGGAGTCCTCGTGGCGCGGTGCCTTCGAGCGCCGCCCCTGGGGTGTCTGCGAGCAGCTGGTGCCCGCCGGGACGCCGCTGCGGGCACACGAGCTGGCCGAGGCCACGACGGGGATCTACAACTGGACGTTCCCCTACCACGGGTACGTGCGTGCGTGTGCGTGTGTGTAAATGCGTGCGTGGGTGTTTGCGTGTGTGTGCATGTTTGTTCAGGCTGTACGGGGCATATTTGCCTTTTGTGTGTGTGTGTTGGGAGCGATAGTGTAACAGTTAGCGTGCTGCGCTATGAACCCGGCCACCCGAGTTTGATTCCTGCTCACGGCCAACACCAGTGAATATCTAAACCGACCCCTGGATCTCCCTTAGGACAGCCCAGCCTCAAATGAGTACCTGGTGCGGTGTGTACACATCGGACGCTAGGCGGCCGGGCGTGGTGTTGGCCAGCTACCCACTTGCGTGCCCTGCCGGCCTTCGTAGGTGCTCGCTTACAGCACTTGCTCCTACAGCCTGTGAAGGCTGTACGGGGGAGCTTTGTCCCCCGTGTGCATGCGTCGCAGCAGCAGATGGCACTCACTCGGGGAATGTGCGTTTTGTGTCGCAGGTTCGACCCAACCTCTTGGGACCACGTGGCCAATGAAGAGATGTGGCAATCGAGGCAAGTGGTGTTCTGGTTTAATGGCCTAACGTTGAATGGAAAGAGAGCGGTGTCCTGCAGGCACACGTTAAGATGCAGCCGACATTCACGATCCCTATTCGTATTTGGTGAACACACGCCGTGAATTACGGCAGATGTCTCGGAGCGCCGTCTGGCCTGTGGTTTTTCCCTTCACGGTAACAGTTATTTGCACATGGGTTATTATTATTATTTTTTCTTCCACAAAATAACGGTGCATTGTTTATTGCAGGGGTAGGGAAACTTTCCACGACCGAGTGCCAGAAAGACAAAAAATCTCTTCCGTGTAGCATTTACGGACTTTTGGGGCAAGTGCTGTTCGCGAGCCTTAATGAAGGCAGGCATGGCACACGAGAGGGTGGGTGGCCAGCACCACGCCCTGCCGCATTTTGTCTCCCAGGTACTCATTTGATGCTGAGTGGACCTAGGGGAAGCCCAGAACCGGTTCAGATCATCTTCACTCGTGTTGGTAGCACGGCGCGCTAACCCCCGCTACGCTCCGGCACCCACACATTCGCACACACACCTCAGCTTTGTCCAGTAGTAGCAACGCATAAAGAGGCCCTGGCAGTGGCAGACGGACATTGCTTAGGGCCCGCTATGAAGTGAGAGAGGCCTCCTGTGGCCACGGGCCAAGCCTGGCCAGTGGGCCGGAGGTTCCCCACCCCTGGTTTGGGGCCGTAACCGACGAAACCCTTCCCTGAGATCCACTCGGTGGCGTGAGCCAGCAAGCAAATGGGTGAGGACGGCCGTCTGGAACGCTCTTCATTCCGATATTAGGAAGCCACCGGAGCTATCCACCTTTAAATCGTCTAGATTGAAAACTCATTTCTTTAGAACAGGCTTTTTGTGTTTAGTTTGTTATCCTTCACTGCATCTCCCAATGAGCACGGTTGGCTCCGTGCAGTGCGAAAGAAGTTCGACATACACACAGAATACATACAACATGCCTCACGCGACCGTGTCGCTTTGCGGAGCAGGATCAAGACGCCGTTCTACCTGTTCGAGGTGGCCGAGGATGAGCGGCTGCCCAGGGAGACGAGGGTCGCCCTCTACGCTCTCAGCTACCAGGTGTCGAACCCATCGCCCCGCACCTCGGCGAGCGCTCGCCACACGAAAGCGGCCTCCTGCGGGAGCGGCCGGTAGGCCCGTTCTCGTGGAGATGGCACCCAATTTGGACTTCAGGAGCGTAAAGTTAAACGGAACTACATTTTTTTTTAATTACGCAACGCAACATGGAGAGGTACGTGCCTGAGAGACGTCCAGATGAGCTCGTGGAACAGAGAATAATCGTCACAGATTAGAGGCACCAGATTGATCGTTTGATAAAAGTATGCGGGCTTGGGCAGGGATTTTCAATCGAAGGGACGATGGCCGGTGGTCGAGACTAACGACGGAGTGGCAGCCAAAGGGAGGGCACGTTGACTGAAACGTCGGACCTCGCTTCGAACGGCACGTGATGTGACGCGGAAACACGTCGGGAGCGCGCGATGCCCGCGTGGGAGGAAAACTGAGCCCGTGTCGTCTCCTCTCCCCCTCTCCGCCCACCCCCCGCCGTCGATGGCTCAAGCTCTACCGCCCGCTGGTGTCCGGCGAGGAGGAGCCGCTGCCCCTCAACTGGCACAAGAACTTCGCGCTGGCGTGCGAGCGCCTTCTGCGCGTCGGGGGGGCGGGGGAGGCGGCGCCGCCCGCCGTGCCCGCCGAGCGCCTGCTGCGGGAAGCCATCGCTCATTTACGCCGCTACGTAGAGGGGGCGGTGGTGGAGCGGGGCCAGGAGGACCCGCAGCTGGAGTCGGTGCGGCGGCTGGCAAGGCACCTGGCCGAAGAGCTGGCACGGCTGCAGCGCGGGGCGGCGATGGCACTCGGAGGAGGAGGAGGAGCAGCGGGAGGAGCGGGAGGGTCCGCGTAGCCAGGATGATCGACCCACCCGTACGGACCGCTGCACTCGGCCCGCTGCGTCGGTGGGGACGTTTCAGTGGTGCAGACGTCTCTGTCGGTAGGCGCTGTCGCGGCTCTTCCCGAGGGCAGGGGGCGTGTGGTGCCACCCCCTGCTGCCGTGCGGAATCGAGGCCACCTGAAGGGCTCTGAGGAAGTGGGTCCGTGATATCCGCTTCCACGGGCCGCTCTCTCTCAAGTGGAGGGTTGCACTGCTGTGCGAGAGATCTGGACGCATTTCTTCGTCTCGTAACGTGACACCGAAAGTGCCGTGGGGATAAAAATGGGGAAATGATTATAATTTTTTTAATCCAGAATTTTTATTTTTTTGTAAACCACTGTGGCCTTTGCACTGGGAAACGGACGCGTTCGCAGTCGTGTCCACCCGCGGATTTGCCGATGAGCCGATACTGGCCCCTAGTGGTGAGACCGCACCGCGGCAGTCAACGCAAGCGCGGCTCTCGCACAAAGTCGATTGGAGTCGGTGGCGGCCAACGGCACATCAACGGCTGATGGGACGGCCACGTCTTTTCAACTCCCCTTTGAGTCGGTGGCCTGCACAGCGATGCGACCGCACGGTCAGCTCTTTTGATCCGGCGGTTTAGACAAGGCCGAGAGCATCGTGCGTGCGGTGCGGTGGTCACGTGACGTGCACGTAAGACACACGGATGGGAGAGGTGCCTTCTTAACCCCCTACTTGAGCAGCAGCAGCAGCAGCAGCACACCTCCAATGCTCGTTATTTATACAACTCAGACCTCCTTCAAAGAACTCCTCCGCAGAGGGGTGCACGGCACACGAGAGCAGCGTAATCTCGGCGACGTGGCGCTCGCGCGAGGCTGAGATGCCGTCGTCGCCGCTGCGCCACCGCTCCGCCCGCGGTTGATGGCTACAGAATAACGATTTCTCACGCGCACGCCTCGACGCGGGCTTCACGGGCGCACGACTCGGGTGAGCTGCCCTTACATGAAATTATATATGTGAGCCCATTTCCATTCTCCACACGTAATTTGTTTTATTATCTTTAGTCAATCAACCTAATGGCTTTCCAGACCAACATTAAAAAGAGCTACATTTGTTTCAGAAACCAAACGCCACCAAAGTTTCCACCTCATGGGTCTCATCGTTAAGAGTCGATAAACGTCCCGTTGCTGACCAAAGGGGCTCCCAAGCTTACCACACTTCCCTCCCCCGATGCGGCTCCCGTCCAGCCGTGGCCTCAGAATCAGAATGTTTATTTAGACTGGAGGAGGAATCCGATGCCGTCTCCCTCTCCTCCTTCTCCCGGTCTCCACAGCCACCTTCATCCATCCTCCGCTCCGTGGCTCCTCTCCAAACCCCGGGCGCCCCCGCGTTCTGCGTCGCGAGCCGATTCCCAAGATTCCCACGGTTCCCACGGTTCCCACGGCAGCGTTCGTAGAACGCGGGGGTTAAAATTACTCTTCCCCCCCCCCGCCCGCTAATGAGGTGAATGAAAGAGGGCGCCGATAACTTTTGAGCGGCGCACCTCGCGTTTGAATGACTCGCGTCGCGGCGGAAATTAGCGGAGGCCCGTCGCAGGGCCCAAGGCGCCGTGTCTAATTCGGCAATATCACAACGAGCGTAATCTCTCCGATTCACACAAGAGAAACTCCGCCGATGCTCCGTAAACGCGCCATTAGGCAAACATCTCCCAACGTTAAATGTCTTCTTGGATATCCTGCAGGCAAATGAGATTAAGTGCTAATAGAATATTATAAACAGCACTGCCCCAACCTCATTTGCAAAATACTTTAGCACTTGGCCTACAGAAACTAGCAATTTAAAATCAATTATGGGGACTAATAAGATGTGTATATGTACATCGAGGCATACCTATGACTGTTTAACACATAGGCTTTCGTGACTAATATTATCCATAATATAGGTTTTTGAGTTTGATCGCATGAATATAAATGTGTCGTTAAACCCGCCACCACCCGACACAGGCAATTTGTAAGGTTTGTCACGTAAACAAAACATGCCATTTCGTTACTAGTACAGCACACCGGTGTGTTGGAGAATAAACCCACTACAACTTTTACAACCAGCCAGAGTTGTGGAGAAATCGTCCTGTTTCGGCATTAAATAGCGACACATTTATATTAGCGCGATATAACCCAACAAAAACCTCTTATGGACGGATACCTATGACTGTCGAGGTGCCAAATGGCGAGCGACAAATTCGGCATCCGAGGAGCGAAGGACGTCTCTGTCGCGACAGGAGGGACGCTGCTGCCACAGCGTCGAGGGTCACGTGGCTGGACGCGCAATCCGGAGATCCCCGGTTACACCGGGCACGGCTGGCCAAACGGTGGGCCAAGTTTCCTAAATCTCCCGCGACCGCCTCCCGTCCTGCCGGCAGTCCGAGCGGGCGCACCGCCACGATTCGATCGGCAGGTCGCGCCCGCGGTGGAGTAAGCTGTGGGGTACTCCCACCTCTTCTTAGACGTCAGGCCAGCGTGGGAGAGGAGGTCGAATGCCCTCTCGAGGGGCTGCCTTGACCTCCCCGTGCCACTCTGTATGAACGTTCATATTTACTCGGCTGAAAACATCTTCAAAATGAAAGCCCAGTGCAGCAGGAGACCCCTGAAAGGGTCCTCCGGCGACTCGGTGTGGCTTGCCTGGATAAAGGAGGAGATGACTCTTGTTATTACTCTACTCTAGGGCCTCCGCTGGCCTTTGAGCCAGCAGTGGCTTGAGCCAGTCCTTTGCAGAGCTGCAGTCTGAGCCGTGGATGTTCCGCTCGACGTTGTTCGGCTCGCGAGCACGGCACGAGAGTGGGTTGGCTGCATCTGTTGTTGATTTCCAGACCGGAGTCTCCCAAAGATGTTCACCTCTCTGCGAGCGGAGTTCCTAAACGCCGCTACGCTGCGCGATCCTGGGAGCGGCTTTCTCGCAGAACTCGCGTTGATCGTTCCGACGGCCCGAGCGGTGCACGGCGGATACCGAGGTGCGGACTTCAACGAGCCGGTGGTGGGGGAGCTGGCACGCGTCGCGATAACCGCGTGGGACACGGCGATCCGCTTATAGACCCACCGCACTCGGATAGCAGCGATGAATTGTAGAGAAAACACAACACTCGGTTCCCCGAAGCCTGCCGGTGTCTGCCTTCCAGTCTCCGATAGCGCCGCGGCGCCACCGCCGTCCCGCTCTGCTCCTCCGTCAGATGTTCCGTCTTGCGGCAGCGAGATGGAACCTCTCGAGCGATAATCCAGATGGATGTATTTTTTTATTCAATCCCTACCGTTCGGAACTTGTCCGTGTGCACAGTTGTTTGCGGATTATTTTGTCCATCTTGTTGTTGTTGTTGTTGCTGTTGTAACCAAGGTCCTCCATCGAAAATGAGCATTCCTTGCCGCAGTCGGTTTTCCCTGCGGCCAAAATAAAACCTCGGCCTGAAACCTAGAAATCTGTGGGGTATCTGTAAATGGATCGCCCTATGCGCCAAACCCGGGGAGGGGGGTGGGGGGGACTGTTGGGAGCGGGGAGGCTGTTGGGAGGGGGGGTTCGTGGGGGGGCTATGTAGAGATGGGGGGCTGTTGGGAATGGGGGGGCTATGTTGAGATGGGGGGCTGTTGGAGGTGGGGGGGGGGCTGTTGGGAGGGAGGCTGTTGGGAGTGGTGGAGGGCTATGGAAGAGGGGGTGGCTGTGGGGCGGGGGGGGGGCTGTTGGGAATGGGGGGGGTTATGGGGAAGGGGAGCTGTTTGGAGGGGGGGGGGCTGTTGGGAGGGGGGCTGCGAGCGCGCGTGGCGACCCCCACCGTGAGCTCCGTATCGCCGCGCCAGCGACAGCGCGAGGCGTCCTCAACGGTGTCAATTTATGCAGAGTGCCGTTAAGTCATCACCTCATTCCCATATTTTGTGGCTTATGCATATACCTAACTCTCCATTATGCTTAAATCTTCACTTCCCAAATCCGTCCGTGCCTTTTTCTCCCCATTCTCTTTTTTTTGCTATCTTTTTTTTTTCCGCTAGCCCCGGCGCAGAGGCGAGCTGTCAGCAATACATCAGCGACTTACGGAAGGTTACAGTCTCACATATTAACTGTCAACAAGAGAGTGGGCAGCGGCGGTTAATCCACGGGCTTGGGGCCGGGACAGCCATCCACATTATTTGTCTTGGGATTAGAGGCGCAGCCCATCACGAGCCGGCCTTGAAGGCAAACACCACCAGCGGCACACGCGCGCGCGTCGCGGCGTGCAACTCGCAAAGGCAAAAGTGCCCCGGGTAGCCTTTCAACGGGCTGCCGGGGCAAGTGCTGATAGCGAGCAGCAGCAGCAGCAGCAGCACGCCCGGCCCCGTGACTTTGTCTCCCGAGTGGCGATGTAATTCGCATCGTACCAGTTGCGCATTGGAGGGCCGACTCTACCTAGGGGGAAAGGGGTCGCACGCCCCAGTTCAGGTAGATCGTCGCTGGTGTTGGTGGCCGTGAGCCGGAATCGAACTCGGGACTCTGCAGGGTCTGTAGCTCAGTGCGCCGACCAATGTGCCACCGCTCTCTCCACTAACAAGTACACACACGCGCGCACGTGCACTTACATGCACGCACGCACACACGCACGCACGCCACGTTCGAGTCGCATGCATACACTTGTAGGCACACATGGCACTTAAACTTGCACAAACATATACGGTACACATGCATACAAAGACAAAGGTAAATATCCCACATACGGGCTTTGACTGGAGGAGCAAGTGCTGTTAGCGAGCACCTACGAAGGCCGGCACGGCACACGAGGGACTGGGTCGCTAAGCACTACGCCCGGCCGCCTTTGTCTCCCTAACGGCGATGTTTCTACACCGCGCCAGGGAACTCGTTCGAGGCCGAGTCGACTTCAGGAGAGGCCCAGCAACGGTTCAGATAATCGTCACCGATGTCGACCGTACGGACACTCGCACACGCGTGCACACTCACACGGCTCACTCCCACGCACGGACTTGAGGGTGGCCCCGGCCAATCCCGTCGCACTCATCCCCCATCTCGCTGCACCCCGGGTCACCTCGCATGCAAATGCGCGCCGCGATGTCGCTAATCGCGCGGGCAAATGGAGCCGAGCAGCAAACAGCGCGCGGGGCGGAGGACAGAGCGAGCTGCCTTCAAATCGCCGCCGCCGCCGCCGCTCTTCTTGTTCGACATCGCTGGACGCGCGCTCACCACTGCGTGACGCGGGACGCGAGTTGGTGTCGAGGTGACGTCGTTTTTTGCCAACCTCTTCGTCCCTGCCCCCACCCCCCCACGCCTATTTACCGTCGCACGTCACATCACTGCGAAGCTGCGCTGCCTAATTACATCAACAGCGTGGTGGTTGCAGTCGTGTTGTCGTTATTGACTCGAGAACGTCATCCCTCTGACGTCGATGCGATGGGTGACCACTTTGTGGTGGAGACATCTCAATCGGAATATTTATGTCGGAGGAATCCGATGAGCAGTAAAGCTCTTTTTCACAGGCGTCCGGTAGGGGCTGATGAGGACGTTACAACGGCAAACAAATACTGAAACACGTTAGGAGTACAAAGTAGAGGAAAGGTAACATATACAAATACAAGTGAACTAAAATAGAGGTTTTTGAGTTAGATCGCATATAATATAAATGTGTCGATTAAACCATCCACCACCCGACACAGGCAATTAGTAAGATTTGTCACGTAAACAGAACGTGCCAATTCGTTACTAGTACAGCACACCAAGGTGTTGAAGAGTAAACCCACAACATTTACAATTCGCGTACGACGTGTGGCCAGTAATTAAAACGAGCATCATCAGGTAACAACCAAAACTAAACTTTTGTTTATCTTACCAGGTAAAGCCCACTGAGCTAATCGCTTATTCTTCAGAAGCGACGTGGCCAGGGCCGGATTTCAATTTTGTAGGCCCCTGGGCTACAGGTACTGTGAGGGCCCCCAGTAATATTTTCAAAAGGAAAACAAAGTTAAAGAAAAATAAAATGTATTTTTACACGGCTGACAAATAAAATTAAGCATTCACAACTGAAATCACTTTTCACTTAACCTCTGGAGGCCCTCCGGCTGGCGGAGGCCCCTGGGCTGCAGCCTCTAAAGCCCCGTGCCTTAATCCGGCCCTGGACCTGGCCACAAAAGATTGCTCAACGAAGTGGCTTATCATGCGGAAATTTACAGCAGCAAAAAACTCTAAATCTTGACTTAAAGCTTTCATGACTGCAGGAATTCATATTTTTGGGTCTTTCGGTAAAGCCACGTAGATAGATAAAATAAAAAAATAGTAAAAAATAATAACAAAATCACGACGTTTCGATCGCAAAACAAGAAATATCTCCCGTGATATTTCTCACCTGATGACGATTGCTTGTAGTTGCAGTCGAAACGCCGTTACATGTTTATTTGTTTTTATTTGATCTATCTACGTGGCTTTACCGAAAGACCCAAGAATAAAAATACTCTAAATCATGTTAACGCATGCTTCTAAATATCAGTGGTTGGCCTCTGGGATAGATCGACTCACAGCCGCCCTAGAAATGTGGAATTTCTTCCACTGGCTCACGGCTATGAAGGGGAGATGAGCGTCAATACCTCACTGCGTATTTGAGCAAAGTCGCTCTGGCCGCTTTGGCCGTTGTAACTTCTCAAGATGCGAGTTACTATTTGTGCACGGTTCTAATCGCTCTGGGCTCTCGTGTCGCGATGCGATGAGCAAATATTGCTTTTATTTGCTTTTACTCTTGTGATTGGGAATATATTTTTTATTGTTTGCCAAAGAATTAAAGCAATATTGGACCCCCAGTTACTTATCAGTCGTGAACACTGCCGCAACACATTCTTTCAGCTACAAATGGGTCGAGAGGTCTTGAGCTTGGGTACCCAAATAATTCCACAACATCCATCGTCATTGTCATAGTCAGCCATGGTCAATCCACTGCTGTATGGGGGCTTCCCGAAGCCGCCACCAACTCGCGATTGTGTGATGTCACCATCCACCCAGCACC